GTGAAATTGTAGTTGTTGCTCTGCATCGATATCAGCCGTGCCAAAGAAGAAGAAGTGGTTACTGGTTACATTACAAATGGGTTCTGCGAAGACCCCCCCCCCCGCCCCGACACATTGTTGCAGACAAGGGAAGTTATAATGCACCGGATGGTAGTTTAATAAAATCTACGCAACTGCTGGCTACTCGTGACCAGAGGCGTAGCTAGGATATTTTGCATCGAATAAGGAATAACAATTAAAATTTTAATGAAACATTGTATTTAAAGAAGCACATTTATAGAAATTATATTACATGGCTCACTCAGTCACTGTCGTAGACTGGTTGACATAGTCTACAAAAGATACATTTTTCTTGATTTCACTGTCGCAAACTGGTCAATCACGTAATAAAAATCTGTTTTTTTCCAATGTTTGTCTTTCAACGCTAAGAAGAGCAAGATCGCTGAGACGATCTTGTCCCATTGAAGCACGCAAAGATGACAAAATAAGTTTCAATTTTCTGAACGACCGCTCACAACTTGCAATTGAAACTGCTATTGTTAATACAATTTGCAGTGAAATTCGCAAATTCAGAAATATGTCGTCTCCATCTCCATAAAACATAATAAAACCAAGAAGATCCAAAGGAGTTTCTGGTAGAACAGCATTTTGCAATGTCCAATTTCTGTGAAAAGTTCGTGACCATAGAAATCGGTGTCATAGAAATTTCCGAAATCTGTGCAATTTCGACGAATTGCATCGACATCTGTGTCGGATAGAAGAGTTTTGACGTCCAGCAGAAAACCGTATTGACATCTCCTGTTGAAGTCGATAAAATACGCTCTTCATAACGCACACAATTTCTTCTTCTGCTGAAAGTCCTGCATCTCTTGCCAGTTTTCCTGGCATCTCCCGACGTCGCCTAATTCTTCTGTCCACATCGATCTCCCATGCAGGCTGTGCATCTTGTTTTGGCGTTTTCTACAGCGACTTGGCTCAAATCATCACGAAGCTTGACAAATTCATGCTCCAAAGATTCAAGATCAGTTGCTGCTTACTTGAAATTCATAGTAGGATCCTGTAAGCGCTTCTGAACACGATCAATTTTTCCAAGAATGACATTCCAGAAATGTAATAAAACTATGAAGTTAAAATTTAATACGCATACCTTTAACTGTTCTGCATCACTTCTGGTTTCAGGCGCCATAGTTACGTCCTCCGATAATTTGTCTAGCAGCCCTACTAGTTCATCCAGTCCTTCATAGATAGCTTTAACAGCTTCTGATCGTGCACTCCAGCGTGTTTCAGACTCCCGCTTTACTGTGATGGGCACAGCTGTTTTTAACTCTTCCCAACGAATTGTTGAACGAGAGAAAAACAAATATATACTTTGAACTGTTCCAAAAATTGTGACGACAAGTGGATCCTGTTTAGCTGAGTGTACTCCTGCTAAGTTTAAGCTGTGGTTGTCACAGTTGACAAACAATGCTCTGTGATTTTTGTCACATATTCGTTGTTGACTAAGGCTGAAAGACTGCGCCTGTCTGTTGTTTGGGACGTTCTTCCATGTAAGTTCTTAATAGGCGCGCGTACCAAAATGTAATTACATGACATGTAGGCTGTGTGTGGCGGGATATACAAACTTTTAGGTTGAGGTGTAGATTTGTGCAGTAGTTTCCGACAGATCTGTTCTACACCTGAGGACGGCTGCTTGCGTTGTGGCCGAAACGTCGTGAGAATTGTATTTTTTATGTTTAAATTTTATTATTTTATTATTTCGCTTCTACGTGACTTTACCGAAAGAACCAAGAAGATACTGCACTGTACTTTCGTTTTTCCACACAACCAGAGCCTGCTCTCCACCAACTGATTTCACAGGCCCTTCACCTTATAAATCCAGTGATGCACGCATTGGTGCTCGTGCGCCAACACTTGTTCACACATATGAGCCAAAGACCATGAATTTGTGCTGCCATCCCTTCACCTTGCATGCTCTCAGTTGGCTCAGCAGCAAATGGGACAGGGAGGGGAAATGCTGTGATTGTACTTCAAGAGTCCTCTGGAAACCCAATAGCACAGATGCCAAGCATTTGCCTTATAATAATAATAGTTAAATTCATAACGCGCGCAAATTTGCAGACGTAGTGGCCGCAACTCAGAGGCGCTGAGCCAAGCTCAGAGTCGCTCGAAAGCATGATTGTAGAGGCGAGTTTTTAAGTCTCTCTTGAAGGAAGCGATTGAGGTGATGCTGCGAATGTGCATAGAGATATCGTTCCAGACTGTTGGGGCTGCCACCGAGAAGCGGCGCATAAACATGACCATCCTGGATCTTGGTATCAAGAGGAGGTCGTGAGTCGCGCTGCGCAGGCATCTTGCCGTGTGCTGAGCTGCAAGTTGTCAATATAGAAGAAAGGTACGGCGGGCAGGCGGATATGAAGGCATCGTGGCAGAGGCAGGCGGTCTTGTATGTGACCCTACTGGCGATGGGTAGCCAGTTGAGAGCACGGAGACAAGCTAGTGAGTCGAGAAAACTTGACTTCATAGGTAGGTCGAATTCAAATTCTGTAAGTTGACTAATTTGTGTTCATCAAGAACAGTTTCTCCGTATATCGATATCATCGGTTCTCAGAGAATGTAAGCTGAGGTGAACCTTTTTCCCGTCTCAGGCCATAATGTACACTTAGAGGAAGGAGTCTTGTGTATTAGGTGGTCTGCTTCGCTTGGTTTTCTATGACAATAGAGGAAAGGAGTATTGAAAAAATGTGAAGTGTTGCTCTCAAGTTCTCTAATGGACACCATTGACACTCTTAATTAAAGGCAAGTGGTTCAAAATGAGCTCCTAAGTGCTTTTCCAGAAACACTTTAACAGGTACAAATACAAAGTGTTGAGCGCAGTTCACCTCACGTAATCCCAGAGAGAAGGGATGCTGCTGTCTGCAGGATTTTCATTCATAACACAGTTTTTTTTGTTAGAACGTGTAAATTTATTTACAGTGCTTTGTCCATATATTTACGCTGAAAAAAGTGTTTTTGGAAAAGCACTTAAGAGCTGTATTATGGACGATATTGTTCGCGAAAGCCTGCGTGTTAAATTGAGGATTTTAATTGTGTAAATTATAAGTTGACTGCACTGCATGCACACAATTGTCATAATTTACAGTGCTTTGTCAAGCCATTGCTACATGAAGGTCTCCCCTCTCCACGTCGATCAAAGTGTTAACCATACTTCACCATGCTGGTTAGTTAAGGTTAGCGAATGGTGTGGGGGGGGGGGGACAACTGGTTAAGACATTACTCACCACTGACGTTAGCCAGGGGTGGGATTTGAACTCGAGGCGCAAAGGTTAGCGCAGTATGCAGCAAACCACTTCGGCTGGACATCTGCCATTTCGCGTAATGGACACTGACACATATGCACGGAGGAATTTGCTTTCTCAATTAAATGCTAAGGGTAAGGCTGTATTCGGGATATTTGCCTCCTCTTGAGAAGGTTAAATAAAAGATTATTCTTCTTCAAAAAGGTTTTAGCCATATGGATTACAACCCCAGATAAACACACGTGCTTTTCTGTCCTATGGAAAGACAGGGTCACGGCAATTGTAATGTGTAATTCCCACCATTGAATCAGGACTGTCAATGGAGGCGAGCATCCCACAAAGCTCCTTTCACACGGGGGGAGATGCTTTTTACGTTTTTTTACTGGTCCGCTAAGGTCGCTCTACCCACTAAGATTAGATATATTCCCATGGCTTGTTGGCCTCAAAATGTTAACATGCACACCACTGTTCTTGGTTCTTTCGGTAAAGTCACGTAGAAGGGAAGTAATAAAATAATAAAAATAAAACACAATAAAATAATTCTCACGACGTTTCGGCTGCTTGCGTTGTAGCCGAAACGTCGTGAGAATTATTTTATTGTGTTTTATTTTTATTATTTTATTACTTCCCTTCTACGTGACTTTACCGAAATAACCAAGAAGATGAATCCCTGCAGTCACGAAAGTTTTAAATCGAAAAATGCACACCACTGTTCTAATTGAAATACCATGTTAAAAGTGTGCTGTATTCAACTAAATCAAAACAGATATATATTCACTACGATAGATCATTTATTGAACCCATTCAACAAGAAATGTACACCAATGGTATGGCATTAAAATGCGAACAGCTTCAAACAGATTCATTGTAAGATGATTGAGCTATAAGAAAACAAACCTTAATGCCAATACGAACGTTTTGGGGCGGTGCACCGGTAGTGTAGGCTATTAAAAAAGGCACATTTTTGCAATAATTCTGTATTTTTGCTGGATCTGCAACTCCGGTCTGAAGATCTTGTGGGGTGGCGGTGCATCAAAATCAGTTCTCGTGATAAAGAAGCAGTTGGAAGACGAATGTGAGTTAAAATGTAGATTTTAGACTGTGTTATGCTGCACCGGTGTACAGCCAATACGTCCATATATAAAATAGCAAAAAAATGAAACGAACATTTTGTAAGAACCTTAAAATATATACGAAAAAACTGTTGTAACTTTGTCTAAAAAGTGCAATATAGGAACGTATTATTTGGTATTAAGGAAAACAGCAAATCACATTTACACTTTGGTAGTAAAATGACCTATAAAAGCAATATTATGTTGGAGTATCCATTTATTGCATGATTTTTGTAGTTATGTTATGCACAAATCTCGTAAAATTAAATCAAACACACCTTTCAGTGATGCACTAAGCTAAACAAATTAACAAGTTAAACATCCTTAAGCAAGTTAGGTAGTCTTTAACATTAGTGATTTTTATTCTTGGTTCTTTCGGTAAAGTCACGTAGAAGGGAAATAATAAAATAATAAAAATATTAAACAATAAAATTCTCACGACGTTTCAACTGCAACACAAGCATTCATCATTAGGTGTGAAATCCACAGCAAGAAAATTATAAATTTTTTTTTCAAATTTTCAAATTTTCTTGCTGTGGATTTCACACCTGATGGTGATTGCTTGTGGTGCAGTCGAAACATCGTGAGAATTGTATTGTTTAATATATATATATATTTTTTATTATTTCCCTTCTACGTGACTTTACCGAAAGAACCAAGAATATTAATCCCTGCAGTCACGAAAGCTTTAAATCAAAATTATTGATTTTTTTAAATTGTTTAAGCGGTACTCTGTCACCACACAAAATTCCACCAAAAAAGGAAGTCCCTTTGAGAATCAAACTTCCATAATTATAATATTCGATTGATAATTACCTTGAAAATCATGAAGACCGATGGACATTTCCACTTCTTTTAAGTGATAGTTATTTCAAAACATATTTCTCTTATATTATTGTTAGAATGGAAACTGGAATAAGAAGTTCTTGTCATGGTGGACAAAGAGAGCCTAAATTCCATGTAAATATTGAATATTGAAAAGCCTTGCTTCAGGAAATATTATTCTGCTTATTTTCTGACTGCAAATTAACGCAACAAAATAAAAAATATCACAACATAGCTGACCGTTTAAAGTGTACCACTTGTGATATAGTAAAATTCTAAAACGGTTTTCATGACCAGCGAGTTAATCATTTTGTTATTGATGAGTAAAATATATATCAGGCATATGCGATGAGTGCAACATTTGTGAATTCAGAAGTTCTCGTAATGGTGGACAAAGCGGGTTTGATCGCAGCGGTTTAACTGGCGGCAAGACTTCTCAACGGTCTTCGTGAGGCCCGGGGGTCCGCAGCTAAAAATGCCGACCGTTCCAACCTTGAAAACCAAACAACGAAAAACAACAAAAACAATAACAGCAAATCAAAACGTCAGGATCAGTATCTTGACTTAACCTGGACAAATCCGATGAGCTAAGAAGCTCTTTCTCGCAGATGTCCAGTACGTGTCACACTCGTTACAATGCATAAACATTCACTTCGGCAAACTCGTGTGTATACTCAAACGCAGATGAAAGTGCTTCTGTTCAGCTAATAAAACAATTAAGCTCCATAAACACATTTCTAAAGAAGAAAAAATACATTTTGCATACACCCAATAAGAGTAAACAGAAGCACTTGCACCAAAACGAGCATTGGATGATAAACCTCAAGTGATCACAACCACTGCAACTCCAAACAACATTCGATTAAGCCTTCTCTGAAGACAATAACTCAAAATCACTGTGCACCGATGACATTGTACAAGCATATTTATCCGAATAACAAAACACACCTCTGGGTGCAGTTTCTGCAGGGAGTTGAGGAAGGGCACAAACTGCGGGCGGCCAAAGTGCGTGATGGAGCGAAGTCCCGTGAACAGACTGCGGTTGGACACCTTCTGGAAGTGACGCTCGCAGATGTACTGCAGGAAAAAGAAAGAACGACGTTGGTAAAGTTATTCATTGATGCTCGGGATGCTTCCGTGAGTGGATTGTTTAGGGTATTGGATTTGCAATGGGCAAGTTTCTTGAATCTTCCTCGTTTCACATCCACACTTCCGATTAGCACGGTCGGCGACGTACGGTGCGAAAGAAGTTCAACACATACATGTACTCATCCAGCTGTAGAAATGGGTACATCAAGTCGCCAGCGAGGGAAAGTAGGCCAAATACCATCTCGAATGGGTTCTCTTGAGCAAGCAATTTTTTGGGATGAACCTTTACATGTCATAGTCTAATACAATTAAGTGTCCATTTCTGTTTGCCGGTGAATGACATATTTGGTGTGATTCTACAACGTCTTTTTGGTTTGTACCGTGTGCTATTCAGCATGATGTACAACTGAATTTCAGTTCCTGCACCGAATTCCAGTTCCTGGAGATGCCCCCAGGACATAGAGCGAAAATTGTGCACGTCATTCCAGATAACACGCTGTACTACCCCGAAAAAACACACTGGGAGAGCTTTATCGCACAACAGCGGAAGCCTACGAGGTGATGGAGTGCTATTGTTCACCAGCATAGTTGTGCGCAAGTCGAATTTCTCCGCGAACTGCGTGATGTAGATATGGATGGACACCAAGTCGTTCTTGTCGTTTTCTTCCACCTCCTGGATGATGTCCGTCAACCACTCGAACTGCCTCTGGGTCCGTGTCACCCAAATGAAGTACAGCTGTTCGCCCATCACACGCGATACCAAAAACAACAATCCCTAATTTTTAATTCACCATCACATTTCCATTTACTACGATTCTGACATTAATGAGTCAACAAACCGAAGCATAAATCCAAATTGCTCACGGACACGAGAGTTCCGTGGTCTCGCATATATATTTTTTATTACTAAAGATTTTGCTTCGACTTGAAAGTGCTCGTCACTCACCTTTCTGCAGGCAATGAGCCTGGCAGTTAATGGAAGACTTGTAGACGACATCCTTGAGGATGGAAGCAAATGGAGTGACGCCAATGCCTCCTCCCACCAGCACAGACACCTCAAAGTCATTCCAGTGCTGGTGGCCCTCTCCAAATGGACCGTCCAGGTATATCTGTACACGTACACAAAGACAAAAATTATCAGTCCGCCGTTCAGTCCCAGATGCACTCGTGATGTAATGATGGAGCAATCCAGAGATCACTGGTATGAAAGTTGAAACAATGGAGCAGATCTCTTAAATCCTATCCCTGCCTCTGACCATCCAGTAATATTAAAAGGGTACTTCCTCGAGAAGTGGATCAGCAGGTTGCATGTGGTGGATTGTAAAGTGTGGGTACATCCAATTTCTCTTCCAAGAAGTCTGGCTCGTGTGGGGAGCGGTAGTGTAGCAGGTTAGCAGCGCTGCGCTATGAACCTGGCGACTCGGGTGCGATTCTCGCTTACTGGCCAACACCAGTGACGATTATCTGAATCGGTCCGGAGCCTCCGCTATGCCGACTCAGCCTCAAATGAGTACCTGGTGCAATCAAACAAAGGCGGCCGGGCGTAGGTGTTGGCCACCCACACCCTCGTGTGCTGTGCCGGCTTTAATAGGTGCTCGCTAACAGCACTTGCCCCAACAGTCTCTTACAGGCTATACGCGGAATCTTTGCCTTGTACATCCTATTTTCTTCAAAGAAGTCTGGCTAGTGTGAAAGAGTAGGTTAAAATACCCTCTGCTAGTGAGGCTCTCTAATGCTTCTTCGTATGGAGGAACTTTCACCAGGAGTGGTGTGAGCAGGACATTTTAGCGCTGCTACATTTACCTTCATCCTGTCGAATCGCAAGTCAGACAGGCAGCTTTGCGGCAGATAATTCAACTCACGAATCAGGAAGTTGTATGTTAATTCCAGAAACGCTGATAAATAAGCAGCGTTTCTCTTAAACGTTCTTATCAGATGGAATGTGGAATTTCCACTTTTCGGTCAGTTTCATCAGTTGAGATTTTTTTTACTGCCCCAGACTTACTTGAGCTGAGACACATTTGTCCTTGCACTCGATCATTCCACATGAATGTAGTGCTAATTGTGAAATTATTAAACACGTGGCTTTACAAGTTAGCATTTGAAGTGACATTCAAGTTATACATGTATTTCATCAAACCTTGGAGAAGCATCCATCACTGCTGATGCTCTTTGAAGAGTAGACTTCACGAAGGCGGGTGGTCCATGGGCCCGCAGCACGCACGTGGATGCTCAGGGTGCCCTCATGGGGTGCGGACGTGAGCGTAAAAGGGTGGTACTCGCTCCGTCCCAGGGTAAGGCAGGCCACGCGCACCCACTGCCCAGACTTGTACTCAAATCCCTGCGGGCGCTTAAACTGCAGGTGAGTCACTCCTGCAAATCGAGGTCAGATCATGTAAGCGCTCGGTGACACGCCCAGGACAGTCGCAGGCTCAGAATGACACGCACAGGTGCAAATACTGATCGTTTCAAGAGGTTACTTCAGGTCTACAAGGTTTGTCGGGGGGGGGAAAAAAAAACCTCTATTACTGGAAAAAATTGTTTGTTAAACGAATAGCTCTTTGATGTGTTTTTTTTGGCGGTTGTACCCCCGTTGCAGTATGGTGTCCCGATGTCTTTCCAAAGAAGCTCCCAAAGTGGAGTGAATTTCTCAGACAGCAGGTGGTAGAACCCGAAAACACAGAGGATCACGAACACGTCAGCACAATTGCGTACCTCCACGCTGCAGCTCCTTGCAGTCATTATTTAGGTGCCAGATTTATGAAGCGCTGCTGTTGTATCTCTACGAAGCATATTTTTTCGATTTAACCAAGAATGTGCTTGTCAGACAGATGGTTCGATTTCAAAGCTATTTGAAGCTTTGTAACAGCCCAGGATATGGCTGGGTGACAACACTATTGTAATTTCAAGTGGGGTTTTTGGTGCTCATTGGTGTGTGACCACCATTTCACAAATATAAGAAGCGAAGTTCACATACACTAACACAGCTAAACATACCTGTTTATGGGGGAAGTGTTGTGTAAAACATCGGTCTATTTCCAGAAAGAAATTGTGGTCACATTCCTGTTGGGTTCCCTGCCATGGACATATCTCAAGTATTTCAAAATACAATTGTACATGAAAATTGGCATATTTGTTGAGATCTAAATTACACACGTTTATATGTTTTACACATGCTATTGCATGGGCAGGGTTATTATTATTATTATCATCATCATCAGGTATGACCCAGGATAAACAATGAGAGTATTTTACTCACAATGTGAAGCTTGCCAGTTCAAATCCTGGCAGGGATTGAGCCTAACAACCCAACGTGGCTCTTAAACTAATGACCACTTTGTGAGACGTCAATAGTGCTCATCCTTTGCACGGACTTATTCACGCTGTAAGAATGTGGACAATCCACTACGAACTCAGGTCCACCAAAAGAGACGAGCTCCAGCCCGTTGCTCGTTTGAGCAGCGAGACACTGACTCCATGACGCTGTTTCATTGCGTCGAATCGATATTTGCGTAACTTCACCAGTGCTTACAAATAATTGCATGCCACACCCAGATTCTCTTATTTGGTGCTCGTTATGCTGCAGTGGCATGCAAAAAAAAACCACCGGTTATGAATTATGCTCCGGGTTACCGGATGGCCTTCAGGGCAGTACTTGAATGTAACTTCCTTGTCCTTAAATATCACCAACGGAAACAAAATCTTCTTGGTTCTTTCGGTAAAGTCATGTAGAAGGGAAATAATAAAATAATAAAAATGAAACATAATAAAATAATTCTCACGACGTTTCGGCCACAACGCAAGCAGCCGTCCTCAGGTGAAGAACAGGTCTGTCGGGAAGACAGCGTCTGAATGAAACACCACCACGCTTGGAGCGTATATTTATGCTGGGTTGGAGGGGGAAGAGCGCCTGGACAAAATAATTTACATTCGTTTTATTTGTATTATTTTATTATTTCCCTTCTACGTGACTTTACCGAAAGAACCAAGAAGATGAATCCCTGCAGTCACGAAAGCTTTAAATCGAAAGGAAACAAAATTTGTACTCTCAGATTGCATGATGCATGCGACGTCAACATTCTGGAGACCACTGAGTGAGACATGAGGCCCGTGGATGAGAGGCAGCACCTGAGGGAAGCAGCTCAGCCTTGAGCACAGTGATCTCCACCTTGCGTCGGCTCAGGCTCAAGAGACGGTCGCCCAGGAAAATAAGAGCTGGTGGCAGAAAGTATACGTAGAACATAGGCTTCTGGATGAGGCCAACGCTGCCGTGCAGAATGGTCTGTGTCGGAAGGGCAAACGAGAAGAAATCAAATGTACAAGTGTGAGTATCAGCATTGCACACCAATGTAACAAGGTTGACAAAATAAAATAATGAAACCATCTACACTATGGGAACCTCATTTGCCAGTAAAAATATGATAATTTTTTTTTACCCTTCTATCTGGCAACAAAACTGACACCTTTTTACAAGGAGTCATGTTTGCATAGACCGCAATACCTGCAGTCATAATACAAACAAAAGAACATAACTCTGATAATGTGCACTGTCCTTGAAGTTGATTGGTCCACACCCGAGACAGCTTTCCTTAGAGCCTAGTCTTACATGGGTTTTGGCGTCATCTGGTCCAATTCAAATTCATTATTGCATGCAACAAATGAGTCAATAGTTGAACGGAACAGCTTCCTACCAAAACATAGAGCAGGATGTACAGCTGGTGGGTGATCCAGAAGGCATTGAAGGTGTGACTGCGGGCAAAGCGGCTGGCGAATATGTACAGCACCGCAAGCACCGCCAGTATCAGCACACCTGTCATACCTGGCAGGGGATAAGTGATGGGACAGTGATCAGCACACTGATAAAAACAAGAAAGAAAAAAATCCTCATTTACATTAATACGAACATATTGTGTCACCTATGAACTAACTTACCCACGGACAAGGTACACGGAAAGGCCAGCTCAAAATGTTACTGGAAAATGTAATCACCAATTAATCCCAGCATTGAGCAATATCATTCAGCAATATGCAAGTGAGTTGTTTTGCATACTGTCGAATGGCCCTATAAAGAAGCCTTTGAGATAAAAAGGTGTGTGTCTGCGAGCCGTGTAATGTAACACGGAAATAAGTGAGTCACCATCCTGGCAAACGTACCTGGTATTGTTTGAAAAAACCACCAGTAGAACTTTTTAGGCATCTCGGACCTAAGTTTCAAGATAGAAGCAGTTGCACAGCATTCATTGACGTGGCAAGCATAGCATCAAAAGGGCATGAAGTTAATAGAGTAAAAAAAAATGAATTCATGAATGAGAAAACCCACATTGTCATTGCGAGCCTCACCCGTCATTGAAGAACACGTTTGGGAAGAGGCAGGACAGCACGCTGAGTGGCAGCACTGAAAAGTGGTACACGTTCACGACATGGCCAATGCTGTGCAGGACTAAGGATGAGACACGCAAAAAAAGCCATCAGATCAAATTGTGCACACTTCACAAATAGTATTACCACACAATGGAACCGTTAATATACACATAAAAAAGTGTATTTTGTTTAACCCGGGCCAAACGCAAGAGGCCAGGGTGTAGTCTCATTTTGTTCGAGTAACCTGGGTCGCCAGAACGACAAAAGTCAATGGGGGTAAAGTACAACAGCAATGACGCGAATAATGAAAACAAATCTGAGGTCAACCAACCGAATTAGAAATCGGCGCAAAAAAAACAACCACATTTAAGGAGGAATCTAAAATTACTGCGCAAACATAAATCAATCTAGCGTAATGTGTGATACATTTCCCGCAGCAAACGTTCGCTTGGGTAATTTATTTTGATTGATTATTGTGCGTACAATGTGACAATTATTGTTGAAAAATATTGGAAAGCTAAACTTTTGTAAACATTCAAATTATCCAAATATGCTGACAAATCACAGTGTGAAAAAAGCATATTGTCAATCTTGGAAGTAAACAGACAAGGATTCACGGACTCTATGAAGCTCAATATTCAGACTATATTTGCATATTGTGACTTGATACAATCCTACATAATTCAAATGAAGTGGCATGTTTCCTTGTGTTTGGCACTTATGCATTAATTTGTACACTGATATGAATCTGTGTGGTGGTGGTGGAATGAAATAAAAGTGAAAATATACAGGTTTGTAAAGGTGAATGTCGTTTTTCATGCTTTGTCGAAGTGTGCAATCATGGATAGGTCTGTTTTTTTCATTTGATTTTCTGCTATGTATCCAACATAATTTCACGAACAGAATTGCAGTTCACTTGGACGTTTGCTCTTTTTCCCTCTTCACCGAGCATTTGCTACGTGAAAATTTGGGTAAAGGTGCAGCCGTGCATCGACTTGCTCACGCCACTCCCGGCGAAAGGATGACCAACTAGAGGGAGCTCTGGAGAACCCTTCACTTTTAGCCTTCTCTTCCCTGATGGCCATACATCTTGGTGGGTCACTTGTCAACGTTCTTTATCCTGACTCCAACATAAAAGTCATGTTTAACACTGCATTCATCACGATACATTGTGGAAAAGTTGTAATATTAGACGCAAAAAAAATTCAATGTTTTTAGTTTTTTAGCCAGTATGCGGATAGCGCTGCATGCTTCAAGCAGATGTCTCCACGTATTTAAATTAATGGTGCTGATGTGGCCAGCGCATTGCTCAGCTTCCTTTGTCGCCTCAGTAGACAGTGCACCAAGTAACCGTCTCGATGTTTGACTGAATTCCCCCAGGAAGGTCTGGTCCACATTCAGATGTTCATTGATGTGATACATGACCAAGAACTACAAACAGGAAGCCAAAAAAGTCAGTGCCAAATAAAAACACCACACATACCCTGACTGCGATAGGCGTTTTTTTTTTTACAAAATCATATTATTTAAAAAACATCTTTATACCTGGTTAGCTGGCTGGCTGGCACGTGGGTGGTCAAGTGCGCACGGTAGTGACACCACACCTCGCACCACCACCCTCCATCCCGGCTGTGTATCCCGTATGAATTCAAGGACGTGCTAGCAGTATTTCAAATATGTTCAACTGAATCTTCGAAACACCACTGATTTCACCTTTCATAGCGTCACCTCCTCCGCAAGTCTACTTTAAGCGGATGCATGGAAGTGTCGATTTGAAATCTGTAAAACTCTTTGTCATACATTGGTAGGTTTTTTTTACTTGGGGGGGGGGTGCTTAGGAGGTCCAGGAGTGCTGCTAATACATTTGTTTCCCTCTTTCACTCCCTTATTTATGCTTCGAATGCCCCATTCACCACCACACACCCAGTATACAAAGCAAGCACATCCACGTCTGGAAAGGTTTTGATTTCAAATCGGTTTGTTCATTCTGGTGTCATGTGCTTTATTGATTTGATGAAGAATAAAAATAAAAATACACTGCCTAAACTCACTGGACAGAATGACGGCGGTCATTGCGATGATTTTGTGAAATTCCACGGCCGAGTCGAACGGGATGTAGTGGTTGAGCGCCGTCTCGCGCAGCGCCGTGATGATGTTCCGGCACATGGTGAGGAGGATGAACGAGTAGCAGAATGAAATCCCGGCCGCCGTGCCGCGCGACAGGATGATCCCCGCCTCCGTCACCTGCCGGATCCCAAAGTGCTCTGCACCAACTGCGTAATCTACGGTAGAAAGGCAGGTGGAATCAGTAACAGCAAAAAAAAAATCAACGAATGAAATGAACGTTTCGCAGCTAATATCAAAGCCAAAGTGGCCCTTGCCCAAATGAGCATGGGGGACAGTGCTCATATCCAATGGTGGTCCTGAGTCAAGTGGTCCATGAAGGAGCCAACACTTTGAGGTGTTTTTGAAGTCGCAACCTTCTGCCTCTGAGACGAGCGCCGTTGCACAGGTTTTGTTTGAGTTCTCCGACGTGTGTTCGTGTTGTACCACTTTGTTGTTTGGCACGATGTCCTACGTCTCGCTCCGCATGCCGGGAGCTTCTTATGGATTCAGTAGCTCAAAGGAAGCTGCCAGCACGTGGAACCGAACTTCATTCGTCATGCCGGACAACACAAGCACTCTGCCCAAAGCATCAGCGCGTGATAGCAGTAAAAAAACAAAGGTCAAAATGTTTCCATGCTCGATGTGCCAATGCTCGTTGCTGTTATACACCCTGAGGACTTGGTGGAAACCTTACATGGCAGCAAGTGTTTAAATATTCAAATCGTCATGCACCATCATTGGCCAACACTTCAATCCACTGCTGGATGAAGACTGTTCAAGCCACTGCGAGTTGAAGGCCTCCCAAGCCATCACCACCATCTCATACAGCCCTGCGATGTAACAATTCACCGAGCGCCTGCACGCACGAGCTGGCCTCATCGCTCCATCTCGGCGGAAAGCATCCATATGCCTCCGGCCATCTATCTTTCTCCAACAACATTTTTTGATATTCTCCTGTAAGAAAAAATCGGGGGGGGGGGGGGTGCGGTGGGGGGTAGTTGTTGAATTTTTTTAATTGATCTCGAATGCCAATGTGACTTACAGTAGGCGCGCTCGACCATGACGCCGGCCATGATTCCGTAGAAGATGACCACGCAGAAGATGTGGCGGCGGTAGTTTTCCACGTAGCGCTTGACGGCCTGCATCGACTGCCCCAGCTTGCTTCGATTGTAGTGTTGACGCCGGGCTTCTGTAAACAAGCGACCTCGCGGGCTGTTCGTGCCGTAACAGGGAAACGGGGAGTAAAATTATTTATTCGCAAAGGCCGACAAAGCCTTTCTTGCGGAGGCAAATGGTTATTAATTTTTCTCTCAAATGCATGCTCGGGTTGCACCGCTCCCTACGCAGGGAGCTACTTCATTCAGTTCCTGAAATTCCCAGAATGTGGAGCAAAACGTTAGACGTCGTGCCGAACACAACCCAAAGACATGTACGAGTATATCTTATCTTCTTCTTGGTTCTTTCGGTAAAGTCACGTAGAAGGGAAGTAATAAAATAATTAAAATAAAACATAATAAAATATTATATTATTTTATTATATTATTTTATTATGTTTTATTTGTATTATTTTATTACTTCCCTTCTACGTGACTTTACCGAAAGAATCAAGAAGATTAATCCCTGCAGTCACGAAAGCTTTAAATCGAAATATATCTTATCTTCTTTTTTATTATGTTTTATTTTTATTATTTTATTATTTCCCTTCTACGTGACTTTACCGAAAGAACCAAGAAGATGAATCCCTGCAGTCACGAAAGCTTTAAATCGAAGAGTATATCTTAATTGTATGATATCGTTAAGAATGAGGGCATCAGTTTCACTCACTGTCTGTGCGAAGACTCTGCGGGCTTCTCATCTTGTTTACCAGCGACTCTCCCAGCATTAGAACTGATGGGTTAACACGCACGCACACACACAAATGAAGCACATTTTGCATATGAAGCATATATGTATTTCATATATGTGTATTCCATATACAGCACTTGGGGATGACATGACTGAACTAATACCATAACAAGACTTATTTATTTTATCACGAGTGAAAAGGGCAAGCTACACTTAAACTTGTAACAGTGTACCGCTGCTTGTATGAGAATTGGACAGTGTTTGCAATCTCTATCAGTCTTCAACTAGCAGTGGAAATTCAGATATTTGCATGGCAGAAGCCAGTCTTACCAACTTGATACTGATTTTATTGACACTGAAGAGATGTGCAACTCAGTTGACCACCAACTGTAAATTGAGTTAGCAACTCTTTATATCGTGAGTTGAGTGATTTCTCTTTTTTTGACAGTGCTACCTGGCCTGATATTTAGATAATATAAAAAACATCTTTAAAAAAGTAAATTATTTGCATAACTTTAGAGTGAATGACTCCTTTTAGTGGAAGGATTTTGTTGTTCAACAAGTCACTTTGTTCGGTGTCTGCTGTTGTTTCCTCCGTATGCAAAAAGATTAAACGTTCGGTGGGGTCTGGCCGCCTGTGTTTCTGCAAAAGCACTCCGGCATATCATGTGTGTGTTCCAAGAGCAATTCAAGCGAATACACACTGTTGCTTTTGGCAAGTGCCTGCCAGTCACACGCTACCAGTTTGTATACTTTTCCGAATTCTACACTCATCCAAGTAGACTTTTCCGCACCGGTGCGCCCTTCTGGGTTTTCAACTATTTTCTTTTCCAGTTTCCCTTTTTGACCGCGTTTAAAAGCCCTCCGTTCCACCCACCCCTTAACTCCGACACTGTAACAACCATGCAAAGCACCGAACGGTTTGAGAAACGATGTTAATGGATCCATGGTAAGTAAAGTTGGGGGGGTTGGGGGGGTGGGGGGGCACACTGGATGTGCAGGCCTAAATGCCCCCACAAGCGGCTCTGCGGGAGCGAGCGCGATTTCTCGAGAAGTCAAGTGCCGTGACGGCATTTAATTATTTATTTATTAACGCGAGCGACCTCGCGATTTACCCATCGTGCGATTTGCGATGATGGATGAAGGAGATGGTGTGCTCGATTCTCTTTGTCTTTGGCACGTGCATCCCTGTAAACAATGCAAGCAAAGTCTGGGTGAACACAATAGCCTATGCGAAATGAAGCATATGTGACGTTGTTTAAACACCAGGTTAACGTGTTGAAAATTTGTGTAATGTAGATACGTGTATACAGATATATGTAGGCCATTTCTTAGCAACATGTACAAAAAATATATGACACCCTAATGAATTTGTATTGAAAGTGCATTCTCAGTTTACCTGTTATATATCTTGTATATTTAATTAATATGCTCTATTTAAGAATGGCAGCAAATTCACTATTTAATTCTATATTTGCATATTTCCATCGAGCAATATGCAGCACAATTGTAGGTTATTATATTCGTTCCAATGATACACAATAGCGCGGTGCGAATGAAGTTCAACAAAGACAAAGATCCCCCGTATAGCCTTAACAGACTGTAGGGGCAAGTGCCGTTAGCGAGCACCTGTGAAGGCCGGAACGGTACACGAGGGGGTGGGTGGCCAGCACCACGCCCGACCGCCTTTGTCTCCCCAGCGGCGATGTATACACACCGCACCAGGTACTAATTTGAGGCTGAATCGACCTAGGGGAGGCCCTGGACCGGTTCAGATAATCGTCACTGTTGTTGGCCGTGAGCGGGAATCGAACCCGGGTCGCCAGGTTCATAGCTTAGCACGCTAACCGCTACACTACCGCTTCAACACACACACACACACACACATACATTTTTGTTCAAACTGGAACAAAAAAAACCCAACGTGGTTTCTTAATGCTTAAGTGATCGTATGCTATTCCACTTCCCCCCCAGAGTGCACCCCGACTGAGTGGCGAGTGGTGGCTTCGCTTCTGTACCAGCGACGTGGATTTGCAGGTTGCTGGCATCATGGTAGTGCTCATTCAAGAGCTTGTGCAGGTCCTGCCACGTGAATTCTGTTTTGCCGCTGAGGCCGTACTCGCTGCACACCGACTCCATGATGCTGTCCTCCTCCTCCTTTGGCAAACTGTAATCGGACAACTCCAGAAACGATCTACGTTACCACCCCGTAGACAAAGGAAAGAAAAAGAAACGTAAGAAAGTTAGCATTTGTGCTCATTGTGAATGGAGAAACTAGGCTCATTACTAATGAGGTGAGTTATGAAAAAGAGAGTTTATGTGTCTCATATGGATGTGTGCGTGCGCGCACACGCATACTCTGGCTTACGAACCTAAGCATAGTTTCAAATTCTTCCTTCGTCATGCAGCCAGTTTGGCTGACTTCGTACATACGGAACATCAGCTTAGATTTGGCCTCAGCAGTTCCTGGTCACGGGAAAGAGACAAGTTATTGGTCTGTATGCAAACACATTGGTAAGCAGTGATTATAAAGTTGAATGGTCAACACTCTGATGTGCTTTCAGGTTGTACCACATGTTGCATGTTGCACTGATGTCTGACATTTCTCTCCACACTCTGGGAGCTTCTTCAGAAACTCATAGTGAGTGGGAGCGCAAAACGTACGACATCATTCAAAGCAATGCAGTACAACCTAAAACACAAACACACATACATCGGAGAGCTATAGAGCACAACGACGGAAACTGACGCAACATTCACAGTCGATGCCGTTCATCAATTTCACCGCACTTAAAAAAAAATGTGTAACCTCAGTTGCAAGGTCTTACCTTTGATGAAGACTAGCAGCACGCTTAGAAGCTCGCTGAAGCACAGGTAGCCATTCTTGTCTCCATCCGCCAGACGAAACATGTGTTGCAGGAAAGTAGAGTCGGGTTTAAGGCCTAACAAGTCCCCAAGCTCACTGGGGGACAGCTCACACTTCACAGGTGATTCGTTCATCGGCTCGGCGCTCACATTCAGCTCGTCTTGTGGTCCAAATGATTCAATCTGCAAAACCTGCCACATCCAATACAATGATATGCTGGTGATCTCTCTGTAGGTGTGGATATCGATATTCTATGAAATATCTTCCTGTGACATATATATATACAAGCTAAACAAGATCTGGTTTATTTGGTGCATTTTATTAATTGCAAATTTCATTTCGATGGAAAAATGTGATAAAAAAACGTTTACATCACAGCAATAAATTATAATAATACCGTTGCAAAGATCTTTCTGAAGTATGTCTCCAGTATGAGTTGCCGTTGCTCTTTTGTAACTGCATTCATGAGCAGCAACTTTTCATTGCCACCGGATTTGGAAATGAAGTGACGCTCAAATTGTCTTAAGAATGTATCCAAATCTTCTTGAAATCTAGTTCGCTGTAAATCGGAATCAAAAAACAGGACCTGTGGAAGACAGAAAAATGGTAATATTTCGGTACACAGGTATAAAAAAAAAATTACTGGATGTGATGACCTCTTGCCCTTCTCCATAAGTATATGGCAGTGAATAGCATATTTTGGCTATAATAGTGCTCAATTAAATGTATCCATGTATCTTGATTTGAATCTTGATTTGAAGCTTGAACTTCTTTCGCACCATACGTAGCTAACCGTGCTAATCGGAGGTGGCCTACATTTTCACATTCATGACCACAGAACGAAGGAGCAAAGAGTAGAGTCAGCATTTTGACCACTGGTTCAGGAATCTTCAATGAAGATTCGGGACATGCTGCACTTGTTCCGGCAGAGAAAACACGTTTTTTTCTATTTTAACCCAACAGTGTGCTTAACATAAGCTTAAGGCAATCCTTGCAAAGGCAGTTGGTGTACAACACACCGGTAGACCTCTGATGAGCACGGTTAGCTACGCACGGTACAAAATAAGTTAAACATAAATTTCGATTAAAAGCTTTCGTGACTGCAGGGATTCATCTTCTTGGTTCTTTCGGTAAAGTCACGTAGAAGGGAAATAATAAAATAATAAAAATAAAACATCATAAAATTTTATTATGTTAAAACATAATAAAATGTATGTTAAAACATAATAAAATTATGTAATGTTTTGTTTTATTATTTTATTATTTCCCTTCTACGTGACTTTACCGAAAGAACCAAGAAGAATAATAATAAAATAATAAAAATAAAACATCATAAAATTTTATTATGTTAAAACATAATAAAATTTATGTTAAAACATAATACAATTTTATTATGTTTTCTTTTTATTATTTTATTATTTCCCTTCTACGTGACTTTACCGAAAGAACCAAGAAGAAGTTAAACACACGTGCATACATTGAGGCGGTGACACATATCGTGCGCGGTATCGCACACTCGTAACGGCATTGGCCCTTGACCTCTTGACGGTGCACGGCACAACGCCGGTGCGCAGCACGCCAGGTGACGTCACGGTGCGGCTGCGCTGCTGCTGCTGCCTCACCAGGTCGTACTCTTTGGGCACGTGCACCAGCAGCAGGTTGCCCTTGTCGCTGGCGGAGAGCAGCTCCACGCCCGACAGGGCCTTCACCTCCAGGCTGCGCAGCAGGGCCCCCGCGCAGTCCAGCACCTTGATGGAGCCCGCGTCGTCGAACCTCAACCGCACGTCCCGCAGGGGTTCCTTCTTGCCCTGCCATTCGCTGGCTGATAGACGCAATGCATTTGTACTGCAGGTAAAAGGTGCAGCCTTGCAATTGCTCGCTCACGCCACTGCTGGCAGAAGGGCCTCCATTGGAGGGCGATCTAGAGAGCCCCTCGAGAGGGCATTTGTACTGTATGTTGTATCTTTTTTAACTAACCTCTCATTGACAATTCATTGGTATTTCGAATTGCAAGTGTCCTTTCACATTAATTTTCAGCCAAAACACGTGATTAAGTTTGAGAGGATACTACCCAAATAATGTATGGCTCCTGTGAATTATTTTTGTCCGGCTGCCTACCTCAATGAATACAAAGGATATCCCACACGTTCATGCGGTACCTATAATTGCTTTAGGCTGCAGGGAAGCTCTATTATATCCGTTGGCCAACATTTTCATATTCATGACCAAAGGACAAAAGATTCAGCATTGTGCTCATAGATTCCTGGTTGAACATTCACATAGTAACCACAGCTATTCTATTTGCCCAGAAGTCCTCATACCAAAATGGAAAATGGAATTGTGAAAGCACATCGTGGTTTAAAGCAACAACAATTGCCATATGAGGCATGTAGCAAGTCACGCACTCACCCAGGCACAATTAATCAGGGCCAGAGCATAGTGTTATATGGTGTTGCATATTTACATCTTTGTTACCTGCTCCATGTAGACCCCTTTCTAAAGTGTAACGTTCAATTGCTTACCACGAATTCCATCTGCTCCGGGCTTCTTTCCCGTCTTCAGCTGCTGCTGATCTTTCATTTTTTCAAAGCTTTTCTTCCGTTGGCGCGACACGAGGCACAACACTAAAATGCACACTGTTCAAAGAAACACAAACATATTCACCACAGATCGGTACTTGGGAGATATCTTACCTTTACACACGTGTACAGTCCGGTTCTCAGGACCAGTTCGAATATCACCCGTCACTGTGCATCGTTACTATTCTACAGAGGTGGGACAAAGTCATTGTTATGCAAGTCCAAGTCGAGTCTGAAGTCATCAAATTCATGACTCGAGTCTGACTCGAGTCCAAGTCACATGACTCGAGTCCAAACCTCAGAGGTGGGACAAAGTCATTGTTATGCAAGTCCAAGTCGAGTCTGAAGTCATCAAATTCATGACTCGAGTCTGACTCGAGTCCAAGTCACATGACTCGAGTCCACACCTCAGAGGTGGGACAAAGTCATTTTTATGCAAGTCCAAGTCGAGTCTGAAGTCATCAAATTCATGACTCGAGTCTGACTCGAGTCCAAGTCACATGACTCGAGTCCAAACCTCAGAGGTGGGACAAAGTCATTGTTATGCAAGTCCAAGTCGAGTCTGAAGTCATCAAATTCATGACTCGAGTCTGACTCGAGTCCAAGTCACATGACTCGAGTCCACACCTCAGAGGTGGGACAAAGTCATTTTTATGCAAGTCCAAGTCGAGTCTGAAGTCATCAAATTCATGACTCGAGTCTGACTCGAGTCCAAGTCACATGACTCGAGTCCACACCTCTGCCATTCTATAGGCCAGGCCTCGGTGTTGTTTACGTACCTACAGGCAGCAGCAGTAGGGCCACGATGGTGGCTGCGAAGCTGCCCGTACTTCCTGAGAAATAGTCGATGGTCTCCGGGGGCGTGCACGGCTCCAGGTCGCTCACGGCGAGCTGCTTGGGCTGCTGGCAAGGGTTTCCTAACACACAATGAATTGGAGAGTAGCAGAAATTACGAAAATATGCATTTGTCCAGGCAAGCCTTACTGAGGCTCAAGATGTGGCAATTTTTTCAGGAGGGGTATTGCTTGGTGGGATACTGCAAATGGTTAGCACACTTGACGTGCATTCCAAGAGGTTACTTGTTTGATCTCTTGGTTGTGGCACTTGAAACAATGGTGCACGTCTCATGAATCCTCCCAGCCTGTGTCCATCCAGCAGTGGAGAGGAGTCCACGAGAGTCAGTAAGATCTGTACGACGCGTGTGGCGGGGTGAAGTGTGGGTGGCCAGTGTGAAAGAGTAGGCCAAATACCCTTTTAGAGGGGCTCTCTAGAGCTCCCTCTAGTGGGAGCCCTTCTGCCAAGTGGCAAGAGCAAGACATTACAGGGCTACACCTTTAATAATTGTACTTTTGTTTGGGACGTGTTGCCAATTTATTGAATATTTCCTGTCACTATTTGTGAACAGTGAGTGCAATGCCTGCAAGTACGTGGGCAGAACACTCAAGCGCCAGACAGGTAGGTTATTAACCCACTTGCTGCGCTGCCTCATACAAATCCTTCATTCACCTTACGGTAAAGTTTTTTGCGAAAAAAAATTAAGGTAGAGAATATTATTCCAAAGCTGGCACACAAAAGCAATGGAACACTTAAGAGAGAAAAATCAACCGCTGCGCCGGACACCTGCGCTTCCACGTCTACGCTCCCCATCGTCACCAAAAACCGCAGCGACCAGCACGGTGAAGCATATTGAATTAACCCCCACTACCCGCACAATGTGGGGAGTGAAACCGACAAAGATCTGTGCAGGTGGAGTAGTTGCGGTGACTGCGCCATTGTACTGTTAATGTTTGTGTTTTCATACACGGTCGGTGGGTTTGCCCTCCAATTCATCTATAGCCCCACTCGATGGCAAAACGCAGCGGACCTCTCGGTCGGCCTCACCTGCTCTCCAGAAGAACACTTCATCCTGGATGGTGCGGTTATTGACCCTCATCACGGCTTGCAGGACACTCGAGAATTTCGTCCTTCGAACAGCTTCCACGTCCGACTTCGTGAACATCCTGAACGGCAAAAGGAGGTTCCCCGTAGTAGACACGTTTCATCATCACCCTCGTTATCGTCGTCATCATCATCATCATAAGCCATGGTCAATCCACTGCTGGATTAAGACCTCCCCAAGCTGCCACCATGTCACGTTTCAACACGCAACAAATGAAATGAGAAGGCATGTAAATATTCATTGCTCTCACCAATTCGATCAATTCTTAAGATTCGATTTTTTTTGGATTGCGGTGAACGTCGCGCCTCGAGTCGGCCGCTACGAATTGAGTGACCTCATTGCTTCCGACACACACACAGAGTCAAAATAAGGGCTGCTTGCTTCTCACATTGCACAATTCGGTGCATGTAGGGTGAGAGTAAGAACAAAACATGGCTCGATGAATCCCATCGCATTCAATCAATCGATCTTGATTGTACGTGTCAATATCGCCCTCAATAAATTAGGCATGCCTGCACATTGCAGCAGAATGGCGACGATGAGCACAGTTGGCTACGTACGGTTCAAAAAACTTTCGATTTAAAGCTTCTTTCGTGACTGCAGGGATTCATCTTCTTGTCGAGGCGACAGCGTCTGAATGTGCTGTCGCCTCGACAGACCTGGTTTTCACCTGAGGACGGCTGCTTGCGTTGTGGCCGAAACGTCGTGAGAATTATTTTATTATGTTTAATTTGTATTATTTTATTACTTCCCTTCTACGTGACTTTACCGAAAGAACCAAGAAGATGGGTTCAAAAGACGTTCAACGTACAAACAAACTTATAGCAACAGGAATTAGAAAAGAGACGCGTCATGCCCGCAGCGGCTAACACCGACTGAGCAAAGTAAATTACAACCGAGCGCAAAATAAAGTGCAACAGTGGCGCGATGAACAACATGAGAAATGTAAGTAGTAAATAAAAATAAGTAAACAGACAAGTTTTTATTTGAAGCGTTCGTTTTTTTATGAGACGGTGCCTGAAGGTGAAAGTATTCCCTTAATCTTCAGAATATTTTATCGAGCAATTTTTCAACGCATTGTTGCTGCGCAATCACATACAGAAGCACACTGCACGTGCGGCATGATGTATAGTTAAAATATAGTGCATTATACATACAAAGGGACAATCAATCATTGTATAAAATACCACAATGCATTATAATTCTACATGCAAATGTGGAAAATCTTTCACCGCGGCATTCTGCAGGTCTGTACGCGGCCTACTGGCAATACAAGTGCCTGCCAACAGTTGCACAAATACTATCTTTTTTAATCGCATATCAATTCCATCAGTGGCACTTCACTTGTATTCGAACACGAGTTGTTGTGTTTCAATGGCAATCAGTGGGTTACAGCGCCATTGCAAGAAACTTGGAACTTAATGAGCAGTAAACGAGCACGAGTAGAAGCACCTCACCCGTTGTTGGTGTTCTCAAACCAGAAGCGGTCCCCGTCGCGGATGCGCTCAAACTGATCAACGAGAATTCGCGAGAACAGGGGCCCAGGCCCCCCCTGGCACTCCAAGAGCCCCCCCGGCCACAGCTCCAGCCGCGAGATGTCACCGTTATAACCTGCTTCAGTCGCTCGATAACCTGATAAAAGACAAAGATCCCCTGTTTAGCACCGATAGACTGTTGGGGCAAGCACTGTTAGCGAGCACCTGTGAAGGCCGGCACGGCACCCGAGGGGTGGGGCGACCAGCACCACGCCCGGTCGCCTTTGTCTCCCAAGTGACAATGTTTACACACAGCACCAGGTACTGATCTGAGGTTGAGTCGACCTAGGGGAGGCTCAGGACCAGTTCAAATATTTGCCACTATTATTGGTCATGAACGGGAACCGAGCTCAGCGCAGTGCGCTAACCATTGCGCTGCGGCTTTCCATCTATACAAACACACATACATACACAAATACACAAAGATGTCATCAACATCAGACACTCCATCATCTTGCACACACATAGAGACACTCAACCACTTACTACTATAGGCTCGATCACGTAGAATAACTTTCCTGAGTGTTATAATGCACTCTGACCCGAGTTGAGGACAGAGCTAATGTACATATACTTTCATTGTTCTTGAGAAAACGTTAAAAAGGTTGCGCAAGACCGCACATCGACGTACCTCTGGATTTCTTTGACTAAGCGTGGGATTGATATCTTCCCACTTGGTGATTGGGTCCAAGTTCATGGCTTTCCGCATATTAACGTAACTGGGCAATCCGTGGTCCCGTCCACGTTGGATGTTAATGGCCATGAGGTCCAGCCGGGAAGCCTTCATAGGGCCGTACATGCTGTCTGTAGCAAGCAATGGGGAAAAGGCACGCGTGCAACGATTGTAATGGATTCTAGATTTGAAGCTTTCGTGACAGCAAGAATTCATACTCTTAGTTTTTTCGGTAAAGTCACGTAGGTAAAAAATGAAATTAAAATTAATAAAAATAAAATAATAAAATTCACGACGTTTCGGAGGCAACACAAGTCTCCATCATCAGGTGGGACCATCACAGCCAGAATTGCTGTTTCAAGTGAGGCAGGGATTCCAAGATGCCCCCCCCCCTCCTCCCCCTTAACTTGTATTTAAGAACTTGCATCTTGGAATCCCTGCCTCACTTGATACAGCAAATCTGGCTGTGACGGTCTCACCTGATGACGGAGACTTGTGTTGCCTCCGAAACGTCGTGAATTTTATAATTTTATTTTTATTAATTTTAATTTCATTTTTTACCTACGTGACTTTACCGAAAAAACTAAGAGTATGATTGTAATGGCCTGCCAACGCAATTTCATACTGGTGAGTGAGGCATACATGAGTTACGATTGTTGAAGTGAGATGCAATGTTGTTGAAGGCAGACTGGGACAACAATGGCGACCTAAAACGATTATTGAGAGCAGGATGGAATTATTTTAGGGAAATGCATTTTTGTCACGACAAGCCACTTATGAATGTGCTTGAAGAAATAAACAAAAACTAAATTGTCCGCTATGGTACATGCCTCAGAAACATGGACATTGTGAGAGGAAATGAATCCAAATCTGAAAACTGTGCAAAGAAGCGTGGATAAATGCATGCCAGGCATTGCACTGAGATGAGTGAACAAATGGAAATTATAGTCACCACATTGACTTAATGAAAGCAAACGGGGCTTTTGCTTTCATTGGCCATCATCATTGGAAACGATGATGGCCAATGGACGAGACTGGTGATGGAATTACAGCCGAATGAGGCGGACATGCTGGAGAAGGAGAGAAAACAAAACAACTATTGTAGAGAGATGCAGAACTGACATCGGCTCTTTTGTAAGAGTGATTGTGGCTTCACGGGACTGTCAGGTAGCGATGGTGTGGGGGAGGCCTCATAAATGATGGCCGATGAACTGAAGCTGAAACCGTTAAGCAAGAAGCAGTGGGTCGATTATCTCACCTAGGAGGTCCTCGACAATGACGTGGTCTTCCTGTTCGGCAATTTGAGAAGCCATTCCGAGCACGAATTCATCAACTTCGTGTCCTGATCGGAAAACCTGATGAAAAAAAGGAAATGGAATTAGATTTTTCCGGAGAAAATGCAAAATGTGTGTGTGGTGAATTTCACAGCTCGTTCAGCCATTTGAAATGCAATTTAAAATAGAGAAAAATACCTCCTTGGTCCAGTAGTTGTTGCACATGCGGCTTGCATTATATTCAGACTTTGGATCAGATGGCTTAAAATTGCAAGAATCATCCCTGTGGAAAGTTTACAAGAACAAACTCAAATCAATTATGCTAATTAACAATAACAACAACAAAAACATGTTGATTCCACTGAAAGACATAAATATAATCGTGAAAGACCTTCATTTTATTTTCCATAATGTTAATATCCAACGTGGGAAAGATCGGTGATGTGTTTTTGTTTTGACAATGCATATATTATCAGAGCAAGTTTGTGTTTCATGTTCACCACAAGTACGTGTGGTCCATGCGAACGTGATTCCTTGGAAGGTTTCTATTTGGTGTTTAAACATCTTAACACCTGTTTTATTGCCAGAAATGGTCAAACCTATTCTTGTTTTTTTTCATACGTTTTGTTTTGTTTGATACGACCACTGGAAACCCAGTGACCTGAGTTTGAGTCTTGGCCTTGGCGAACATCAGTGGTGACTGACATCTGAACTCATCTTGACCATCGCCTTCACCATCCTGCACTGACTATTGTGTGAAGAAGTATGGCAAAAAAACGTCCCTGACTGATGGCTATGGGAGGTCCTCGTCTATTCATTATTATTATTATTCAATGTTACCAACGTGGACATTTACAACATGCAGTAATGTGCACGTATATAGTTCTGTACTTTTAGATATATATTGTTTTACCCTTTAAAAAAAAAATCAACGCTGCAATTTTATTTCGATTAATTGTATTAAAAATTTGGTTCCACCGTTCTGAATGACCCGTAAAACTGCTCATTGTGTTTTTTAAATGCGCATGCAGCGTGTTCAATCTCATACACCTCAAACAACAAGAGTGTCCGTTCTCAGGGATAGGGACCAATTAAGATCTGAACCGTGATTCCATTGCAAATGATTACCAATTGCAATACCACAGGTCAACATATCACAAGTAAAGGTGCAGCCCTGCAATTGCTTGCTCGTGCCACTGCTAGTGGAAAGGCATCCACAAATAAATTAACCCGTAAAAACAAAGTTTTCACTATAAATCCTCTATATGCGTGGCATCGGTTTTATTTTATTATTCATTTCTGTTTTTCTTGAGTAAGAGTTTCATTTTTATCACATTGGTATTTTAAATTAAATATAAGGAAAGTCGTATATAAGGATTATAAGGTTTTCAGTTTTGTATGATTGTTTATATTGTAAATTTTTGTTGTTTTCTTGAATAATTTTCTGTGTTTAGGAAAATATATGATTGTGTTAGTGAAAAAAAAATTTCCCTAAAAAGTGGAAAATTTTGGGAAAAATTTTTCACGAAAATTAATTGTCACGCACAACGAGTCTGTGTGCAAAATGTCAGCTCGATTGGATCACGGGAAGTGGGTCAAAAAGCGACCGAAAGATTTGCACGGTCGTAAGCAAGCAAGCAAGCGAACTTAATATAAAGGATTTAAAACAAGAGAGCTCTGGAGAGCCCCTTCCGAAGACATTTTGGCCAAGTCTTCTACACTGGCCAGATAATAGTGTATTATTTTAAAGCACCTGTGTCTTGGAATAGAGTGAGAGTGCCCACACTTTGAATGACCACACGTCACTTGCCGATCAACAAAACTGTGGTGTCCCTGTTGATATTGCTGGGTGGCAAAGCGGTGTGGGGATTTAAGATGCCTGAACATCGTTCGAGCACAGCTAAATATAAAATAAACAATCACTGTCATGAATGACGACGTGAAAGGTCATGACAGTAATCAAACACAAGTGATCGTTTTCTCACCTCTTGTAAACTCCCGGTGGCACCATAGTGTGGCCAAACCTCATTGCGGCCGCCTGAAACTCCACCGAAATGCTGGGGTTCACCTGGGGCTTATACCCTGTGGTGCAATGGAAAGCATTCGTTCAAAATAATGCCTCAGTTGTTACATGTTAAATTCGGTACGTACGTGAGGGCACACTTCAAACAATATTGAGATACAAACGGTATGCAATAATTGGAGTAGGTTGGACAAAGTTTGCACAATAAAGCAAAGGGAGTCACCGCATTTTCTGAACGAAACTAAAACTATTTTTATTTCATCAAGTAAGACCCACAGAAGCGACCTGGCCGCAAATGATAGCTCAACAAAGTGACTTATTACGTGGAATTGGATAGCAGCCAAATACTCAAAGCGCTTGTTTCTATATGTGGAGGGAGGACCGGGAGAAAAATCCAAGCGGCCAAGGGGAGAACATGCAAACTCCACATATACAGGCGTCAGGGTCGGGGACGAACCCACAATCTCCTGTATACCAGGCGAGGTAGTTAACATTCTTCCACCTTGGGACAACGTACTCAGGGGGTGAGAGCGAGAAGAGAATGTGCGATGGACACGAACAAATCGTAACGTTACTCCGTCTGTTTGGTCTTCAACGTTTGTTTTAATTTTGTTTAACATAGTTACGTAGAATGGAAATTATTCAATAATAAAAATAAAACATAATAAAATAATTCTCTTGACGTTTCGGCCACAACGCAAGCAGCCGTCCTCAGGTGAAGAACAGGTCTGTCGATAAGACAGAGTCTGAATGACACGTCCTAGGCTTGGAGCGTCTATTTAAGCTGGGAGGGAGGAGGAAGAGCGCCTTGACAAAATAATTTGCATATCAAGAGAAATTTTAGCATATTTATGGGAAAATCAGATATGCGACTAGTACTACTTGTGTTGTGGCCGAAACGTCGTGAGAATAATTTAATTATGTTTTATTTTTATTATTTTATTATTTCCATTCTACGTGACTTTACCGAAAGAATCAAGAAAATGAATCCCTGCAGTCATGAAAGCTTTAAATCGGAACATTGACCTAGTTAAGGGCCTCTGCGTTTGGGTGCCTCCTCTCTCCCTTTAAATGCACTCCCGGGTTGCTGTGTTTAAAGCTCCAATAAAGGCACCATGTGAATAAGTTACACGTCTTGAGAACGGGGTGAAATTTCTGACCGAATTGAGAATATAATTTTAATAATGCATCGCTACCTTTGTATTCCGCCGTGTTCTTCCCAAGCATTGCTGGCAGCCATTCGTAGAGGACAATGTTCTGAAAAAAAAAATGCAACATGAAGCGTTTCACCAGCAGCGAATAGCTGGAGTTTCCAATATGTTCATCGTTACCGAAATTTACGGCATACAGTTAAGTAAGTGCTGTGCAATGCATGTGACGTCTCACGGCTGGAAAGTGACCTCCCTACCTGATACACTGCCACGACCCATTTGCGTGCATTTATAAAGAGCTCCTTGTCAGACATTTCTGGGTTTTCTTGGCGCATTTTTTCCGCCAAGTGGTTGTGGTAGCGCAGCCACACCGTGCCGATGGCTTTCAGGAAAGGGCTCTCATTTCCTCGTGAATTTCCAAACTCTGTAACACAGAAGCACAATGTATTTTTTTCTGTCCCTTTCAAAGCGTGTCTCAAACCGATGGCATTTCATTCACTGTTTTGTGAAAATTTGATCGATACCAACGACGGTTGTTACAATTCAAATTTTTCATGATTACGATTCAATACCAAATATCACGACATGACGATTATCAGGATATGAGTTTTACAAATCTTTGTAATTGTATTAACATTTTTATTACATTTTTTGTGCTTTGCAGTTCATCTCGTAAGAAAGAAAGGTTACTCAAGGCGTCTTCAACGGTAGGCATATAATCTTACACACACCTGCCCCAAACGCCCACCGATAGTTATTCTGATATTTAAAACTTCTTACGCTAACAACGCACACATTGCTGTTAGTTATGCAACAAATATCAAATCAATAAACAAACTACGAAAGTTACAATCATAGAAGCTGCCCCACTGAGTCAAGGGACTTTGTTTCAGGAGGGTCCTGCATTGGGAATGTATTGTAAGATGTGTTCAGCCAATCAACGACGAGTGTTTACTATGCAAGCATGGAGAAAAGAAAAAAAATGGTATCTCAACATCTCAACACCCATGAGAAGGAAGTTTAACAACATCTGTACAATCCACCGAGCCTCGCTCCCGCCTCCACACTGCTCGATTATAGGCAACGTCCATGGCCACCACCCGCCCCGCTCTGAAAGAATTACTCAACGACTCTGGAAGATATTTTTGCAAAGTACTTATTTTTTACGGCTAATATCTATGGATTTACAACTCTACTTTTTTGCTTGCTATTTCACGAATATTTTGTCAGGAATTTAAATCAATAAGAGAAACACATTTCAGCAAATGATATTCACGAACTCACAACATTTGACAAAACGGACGACGCAATTGCCGTGGGACTCGCATTGTAGCACCCGTCGCAGCGTCGCCGTTATCGATCGCGGCAAATTCTAATATTGCTCCTGCGCTATACTTCGAGAAAGCACGTGCATGCAACCGGCGTTGTTACCGTAGAGATTGTTGTGCCCCGAGCTGCCCGCTTTGTAGGATGGGGAAGGGGCACCGATGAGCCGCAGAGAACGGTCGCTGACAGCGGGAAGGGAGCCGTTCTCGCTGCTTTTCAGCATCCCCCTGTCAAACGTGCGCAGCGCGTGACACCAACTCCTCGAACAACCGTATATCGCACTGCCGTCAAGCCACGATGTCACCTTATTCACCTGGAAGAAACAAAAAAAACAAAAGGACTTTGTTACAATATCAATATTGCCATTTCGATTTCCAAAACAATATGCTTCTTCATTATTTGACACTTTTCACACTAAGCTATAACTTTTTTTCCCCCTGAAAATGCCATGGATTTCATGAGGTCACAGATTTTAGGATTTCACTGAATTGCAAAGGGAAACCACATGTCATGTTCCTGCCCTGCAATTGCTGGCTCACGACACTGCTGGCGGAAGAGCCGCCATGAGCGAGAGAGAGCTCTGGGGAACCCAACTAGACCCCTGGGGAGCCCCGCTCGAGAATCGTATTTGTCCTACTCCTCCACGCTGGTCAAGCATCTTGAAAGAGTTGGAAGCACCCTCCCTGTATACCCTCACCAAGTGTGGTAAAACAAATTATATACTGCTGGGTGGGTGGGGGTATTGAAGAAACCTGCCCATTGTTTAACACCGGCGTGGACCATGCTGAACCACGCTCAAACACAGCACGGGAGATGTGCCACGTACACGTTCCATAAATGCAACATCAAATAATCACCAAACTGCGACTGTGGTAAACCCCAAACCATCAAAAGCATCACCGACGAGTGAGCCATCCACGCACACCCTCGCCGTATCGTTGAAATCCGTAGTGTCTACTGGGACCTTGGATTTGTTGAAGGACCTTAACATTCAGCTATGGCATCATCGATATAAATTTTGGTTCCCCCCTCCATGCCATGCAAAAGAAGAAGAAGACTCTGGTGGGCTGGGTGATTCAACTCGTGACCCCTGAATTGCAAGTCCAGTGTGATAACCGCTGCTTTAGGTGCAGCAGCATCCATGTCGCGCAAATCACGTGACTTACCGGCATCCTCGGGTTGTTTGGGGCCGAGCCGGTGCTCTTGTCCCATTGGCTGCGCTGAAAGGGCAGCACGTGGTAGGGGCTGTTGGAGAAGGCCGTGTCGTTCCACGGGATGGGGATGTTGAGGAACTCGGCCGGGCAGCCCACTTGTCGTGTGTCGACGATTTCATCCACAATGTGCTGACCTGTCACCCCCCCCACCCCACCGATCACCCCAGAAAAAAAAGAAAAAACTTTAGTTGTTGCTTCTTTGTTTCATTCATAACACTGGTCAACAAGAAAAAAAAAATTTTTTTTCTGGCCTGGACTTTTGCAGCTGTTTTAGACTAATTACAGGGTGCTGATTCCAAATCTGATCTCAGATTTGCTCTATCACATCTCATTTTTGAGATGTGATGCTATCGGCATATCGCATTTTCATTGATTTTACCCGAAATTAACTCTGTCACTTATGATTGCAAGTTGTTGCGAGTCAGTGACTGCTTTAGTGTTAAAATATGGTGCTGTATTTTTAGGAAAGTGTGTTTATAATATCATTTTATGTAGATATCCACATTTATTTAATATTTTTCTTCTGCAATATTTGATATCTCAAAAACCTGATGTGATAGACAAAAACTTGATGCCAGATTTGGAATCAGCACCCCAAAATTACCTTAAAACCATTGGAATACCTTATGCCAGAAAAAGTGTGTTGACCAGTGTAAATTACACACTCAAAACATATGCCACAGTCAGTTATGCAGGTATATATATCTCAGGCACGTAACTATCTCCATGTGATCATTAATATTGACCTGACTAGGATGATGCTAATGTCTCACCAACCTTAGAAGTGTTAAGACACGACCCCATCTCGTGTTGAAATGTTCTATGGAAAATATTCACATGCCTACCTACAGACGTTTCTTTTATCCTTATTTGATCATTTACTCGAGCCGTTTTTCACCAAGGTATAGCGATTAAGAATGTGATTGGAAGTCGGGGAATTGCGTACAATGATTTAAAATCTGTTCACTTTGACGAGACACATTTGCGTGAGAATGAATGCATTACAGTAAAACCATAAATGATTCTCGGACTATCTTCATAAATGTCTCGTTTGATGTGTTTGGTCGAAGTTATAAATGAGTAATTTTGTTTTGTTTATAGGTGGAAGTACTGGGATAAATCCCGACATGTGTACCTGAGAAGTCATTACAGGTCAGCTCACAGATTTGCAGGCGTGAATCTCATGAACATAACCATCTCAGTGTGATAACAATATTTATGAAGAGTACATTTTACATTAGCACCATTATTATAGAACGAGTCCATCATGACAGCGCTACATTTCACAGATAGGTATAGTCTGGCTTTAAGGATAAAAGTTAACTTCAAGTAAATATACAAAATGCAGCAAATTTTAACCAAACAGTGACGCAGGTACACATGGCATACTGCTTTTCAAATAACATCATAGGATCTTTAACATACATTGTGAAGAAGCCAATCTTAATACACGAGGAATATTAACCAGGGTGGCCACCAGGCTCGGACCGCGAACCTCTGCAATGAGCTGTCAAAAGCGCCACCGCTGGGACGTCACCACCTAATCCTGAACTCGCTTCCTATTCGACTGCATCACCATGCCCGGATTAATTGCCAAATATTCACAGAAGGGCCTCACGCAAATTAAACATTCACACAGCAGGCAGCACTCGCCCCGAGTCTAGGAAATTCATGGCGAGGGTGGCCGTACCGAAGAAGACGGCCAGCACGGTGCGGTTGAGGGCCGAGGGAAGGCCGCTCTCTCCCCGCATGACGCCGCTGCTCAAGCGACGCGCGTTTGGCACCGTGGGATCGTCCCACATCTGGTAGACGCCATCGGCAAACGACGCCGGAGCCAGGCGCAGCAGCTTGCTCCCTTAGGGGCAGACCGGATATAGGGAGAAGGGATGCGAGTAAGCTGGGGATGTTGCAGCTCTGGGAGTATGATCACATCACCCGGAGAGTGTATGAAATCTCATTCTGAACAAAGCCTGCAAAAGTTGGTCAGTAGACCTGATCTAGCATGATAAGGATAGGATTTTGATTGTAGCAATAGGATTGGTTTGATTCGTGATTCAGGAGTTTGATTCATGATTCATGAAAACGGTTGGCTACGTATGGTGCGAAAGAAGTTCAACATAGATACAGTACATACTCTCGTGAAAAACACCAAACAATAGACCCAATAATGAGGAAATTGGCCAAAGGTCTCAAGCAGGCCCCCTCCTTGAATAAAACCTAAAGATTATTACATTAGTTTAAGTATTGAAAGTGAATTCTCATATTTTGGTGTTTTCACTGATAGATAGAATGTATCTGCTTCAGAGCGAATTCACCGATTATTCTCAGGTCTCTTTTTCAAAGATGATACGGATCAACAAGCGATAACACAGGTCATCAGCTTTACAGCACGGTGGGCAAACCATTGCACCACCGCTCCACCCTCTGACTTGTGCACGTTCATTTGAGCAGTACTTGTCCGTTTAAGCCTTGTCATATAAGCGTTGTAATTTCTGCGTATGTGCATGAACACATCCCCCGTTTGTGTCAACCCATTGCTGGCTTGGTGACCCAGGTCGCTGTTGTAAAACGAGACTCTTTCCCCGGTGGCTCGAGTTGTCACCCGGTGAAACAGAGCAAACATTGAGCTTCAACTTGGACGAGAGCCTCCTACCCCACGCCAGTGAAGAGATATTAACTACCTCGCCTGGTATACAGGAGGTCGTGGATTCAGTCCCGACACTGACGCCTGCTGCTGTATATTTGGAGTTTGAGTGTTCTCACCGTGGTCGTGTGGATTGTTTTTTAATCAGGGTACTCCGGTGTTTCCCTCCTCATTTAGAAACACTTGTTCAGAGTATGTGGCTGCTATACATTTCCACGCAAAATCAGCGACTCTATTTCTGACCTTCGCATATGATATTCACATATTATGAACGTTATGACGTGAATTAAAAGTAACTGTAATAATCAAGAAGATGAAAAAATAGGTATTAAAACGGGGATACAATGAAATGATTCCTGAGTGGGTGAGAAGGAGTGCACAGCTAGAATAATTAGTATTTATACTCTTTGGTTCTTTCGGTAAAGTCACGTAGGTAGAAAAATCATAGATCACGACGTTTCGATAGCAACACAAGCCATCGTCCTTAGGTGAAACAATACAGCAGACGGACTGACTTAGGCAAATGTAGCGTAGCTCTCTCGCTACATTTCCTCTTGCCTTAGCAGTCCGCCTGCTGTATTGTTTCACCTGAGGACGATGGCTTGTGTTGCTATCGAAACGTCGTGATCTATTCATTTTCTACCTACGTGACTTTACCGCAAGAACCAAAGAGTATGGATTCCTGCAGTCACGAAAGCTTGCAATTCAAAATTAGTATTTACCTAAAACCTCACCCAGTTTGGTTTGCGATGTTATACTGCCAGTGTCCTACTGGTTACTATTTAGATGTAACGTTTTCACAATTTAATTACGATCTTTAAGTAATGCTACACAAAACAGGCTAGCTTATTTGTGTACAATGTGCCAGATGTCGGACGGCGTACACGTTTACTTTAAGATGTATATGCTCAACTCCAAACAGCGCCACCTAGTGGCTGTAAGAACAAGGCCCCTTGCCATAAAACGCCACCTGTTGTATATTGTTTTCCCTTTAAAGGCCACCTATTGATCAATATGTTGAGTTTCATTGTTAATTATTTGATGATGCACCATCATCATAGAGCAGTGGTTGTTAGGGTCCCCTGTTTCTCTAACATAGTAAGCACTTAAGATGTGTTCGCGAGTTTCAGAACAGACAAAAAAAATCATCCGCTAAAGCAGGCCACAGAGAAGACATTTTGGATGATCCACAAAATTAAATTGGGGTCAATTTGAGAGTAAGGCGTCAGAGGAACGGCGGTGCGTCACACGGCATCAGGCGACGTCACTTTTGTTGAGCACGAAGTCACGTACAACGATGACACAATGTAACATTCATTAACTAACACGTGCTTTTACTTTTGACAAATTGCAGACGATTGCCATTCGGACTGCAATGGCAGTAGTATTGCCCTCTTGCAACACAATCATTACCGGGTGCGGTTTTGCAGTGACCGTTACCTGTGCTTCCCCAATGAATGTTAGCAAGATTGTTGTACCACCCATCGTAACGTTGGACCTGGCAATCTGCAGACGGAAACAATGCAGACACGTGCGTTAAAATGCTCGCCAAGAAATACATCCCGTTTTCAGCCTTCCGTCAATCCACTGCTGGATGAACGTCTCGCCGTGCTATTTCGGTCATGGGGAGTTGTTTTTCCATACTTCACCATGCGGGTCGGGTGTGGGTGAAGGGAGTGCACCCAGGACCGGTTTGGATATCAATCGACACAGATGTTGGTCGTGAGCAGGAAATAAATGAGGGTTTTTTTTAACCTATAATTTGTTTTTATTCCATGCGCTACAATGCGGGTCACTCCGTGATGCATTTTTGAAATAGGGCGACTACTCGTCGCGTTGAACCGGTTTTAATCTGTAAACAATTTAGAATCTTTGGCAGTGATTTGTCAAGATTATCTCCTGTAGAATGTGTCTTGAAGTAAAACAATAAAATATTTCACATTCACCGCGCGCAGGCGTTGTGCATTCATTATTTAAGCAAAGGAAGCTAAATATGGCTGATGAGACATAGTTATTAAAAGCATTCATACAATAGTGCCACAGGAGCGTATGCAACGGTAACGTAAAACGCAATAAATGTGTTGTGGTGATGATGATGATGATTCCTACGACCATAAAAATATAGACAGTACATGTGACCGACCAACGACCAAAGCGCAGCTTCGGCAGCATAAATGGACAGGAACTGTAGGCGTGAGACCATGTCAATAAAACACTGAGCTGTCGGGAAGCCCGGCATAATATGTAATGTAGTCACACGCATTGATTCTGAAACCAGACTGAGTCAATGACCCGACTGAGCCAGTGACGCATAAGCGTCATTGACTCATGTCGGGTTTCAGAATCACGATAGCTGTATCACAAGTAATCGTGCTGTGACGGTTCCACCTGAAGACGGAAGCTTGTGTTGTCCTCCGAAACGTCGTGATTTTTATTTTATTTTTATTTTACTTTTATTAATTTTACATTTTTACCTACGTGACTTTACCGAAAAAAACCCTAAGAATATGAATCCTTGCAGTCACGAAAGCTTCAAATCTAGAATCAATGACGCTTGTTTATTGTAAAGGGACAATATAAACAGCTTACCTGCTGCGGACAGACAGAGTAAACACAAAGAGAGAAGCCGGGTTGATGCCATTAAGTGCGCGTCAGCCGGGAAATCCCGTACTTTAAGAGCCGCTCGGTGTCAGCCTGGGTGGGTTCCTGTGAGAGAAATACATCGTTAGAAGTACAGCAGTTTGAGATACGTAAATGCAACTAAACACGCGCACACTTATTGCCAACGCTTAATTTCAGCCAGAACGGTCTGAATCACAGTTCTGGCAATTATTTTGGAACGCCACATTCTTCTAGCTTTGTCTTGCATTCGTGGGATTGTCGAGATGTAGGCTACACTAATAGAGGATTATTGTGGATGGAACACGTTGTACTCGAGTGGTAGTGCCTTTTGCCGATGAGCTATACTGAAAGCCAGCCTAGGAGCGTTCCAAAAAGAGACGAACAAAGCCCTGCTTCGGCGTAATAATGACGAAACTATTTTTTATTGTATTTTACCAGGTAAAGCCACTCTGAGCTATATAGCTATTTTTCAGAAGTGACCTGGCCACAAATGATAGCTCAACAAGGTGGCTTATTACGTGGAAATGTATAGCAGCCAAATACCGGAGAACCTAGAGAAAAATCTATGCGACGGCACAGGGAACATGCAACCTCGAAATATACAGGTGTCAACTCATGCTCTCCTGTATAACAGGCGAAATAGTTAACATCGTGCCATCGTAACACCATAAAGATCATGGGCAACGTTTTTTTTTTGGGGGGGGGGCACAGGGGGGGGGGGGGGTAAGGCCCCCCCAAACTGGGCACCTTTATTAATTATTTTTAGTTGCTTATAATTTACATTAAAAATAAATTGATAAATAGTATGCACCCGCGATTCCTAATGTTAGGGACAAAGTGAACCCGTGGACCCCCCGCCCCCCACCCCAAATATAGAAGTTAAACTCCGCATATGATGAAGATATAATTTATACGAGTTTCATCCCTCTATACCAAGTAATGTCCGAGCACATACACGTGTATGAGCACTCTTTGCAGGAGGCGTCCTGGCTAAATAAGTACTGTAATTATTTGTGTTAATAATTGACGATACCTTAATGGGCACCCAATGCATTTGTAACATCTACGAGTATTCAATATTTTCCTGCTGTGCATTTTTTTAACTGACTATAATCCGTATGTATATACCCACTGGAGCTCACATTGCACGTGCCTATGTCAGTAAATATACTTATGAACTGCCAGTTGAAGTATAAATTTACTGGTGTGTATAACCACCCGCACTATAAATAGATCTTAAAAGTCAAAAATGGAAATTCCCAACCGGTCAATTAATCAGAGTTAAGCGCGGTGTACTATTTAAATTGTGCAAACACCTTAAGTTTGCAGAGCAGTTAACAAAGGACTTTAACGAGGCTGTCTATAGTCTATATATTTACAGATTATCTTCTATCTTAAGTGGCCCAAGGGTGAAATTTTGGTTGCTCTCGCACAAGCAGGAAAACAATGCACAATGCATTAACAGTTTTTATGCAAAATATAGAGGTGTTAGTTTTACAGATAAACCCTCTCAAAGCTGTCATCATCCACGATCGATCCACTGCTGGATACGTTTTTTTTACTGAATTATATTATCCAGCAAAGCCACCCGTTGGATTCGTTTTCAGGACGGTCCTCCGTGTGAACTTTGAAGTTAAACTTTTCTCCCAACGTAGACGACTTGTGGGAGGAAACCCAGAGGAGGGAACACACGCACACGAGGGGGCAGCACTCAATCCCCGTGCAGATGGAAACAGGTGGCGATTAATCCACGTCGGTTGCCAACGCCGCCCGGCTCGAAGGCCTCTGACAATTCTAGGTTTGAAGCTTTCGTGACTGCAAGGATTCATACTCTTAGTTCTTTCGGTAAAGTCACGTAGGTAAAAAATGACAAACCGTTGCCGCCTTTCAGTGACCTTGCAATTTTAAAATATAGAGAAAACCTTTTTTTTTTCTCTCACATGCCTTCCACTAATCTCAATGCCCTTATTAACTGTTGTAACACGCTGTACTATGCAGATAGGAAGCCATCGTTTTAACAATACTGTATTCAATCTATTGAGGGAATCAAGTTAGAGAAACATATCCCACTGAGTTCAACATACATACATTAAACAATCTATGTGATATCATACAACCCTATACGATTACTCATCGACCTGCAGGGCTAATTGAGCCAACATTAGTTGTCGACTGGGAAACTTTGTAAACTTGGGAGCATTTAATAAAACGGTTGTATTTACGACGGTGTGTTTCATAAAGCACATTTATGTTTTCAAATGAAATGCTGCCTGGGTCTTAGACTGGTTGATGTGTTTTTCTTAAAATTACCTCTGGATGTGTGTTAATAGTCCAATCACACTGGGGATGTTTGTTAAATTCCTCAAAGTTTATTTGCATTCGAGCGACGAATTACATTTGGGTGAATACCCACGGATTATTATGAGAAACCACCAACGAGAAAATCCGTGCAGGTAGGTAATCAATTATTTCCATCTTCACTGATGGGTTCTCAATTGTTTTTCGTAAGTAGGTTGGAAAATACAAAAAAAAATTTATTACCCCTGGTATAGATAGACAAGACCTACATGGCTTCCTGTTGTGGCAAGTGTTGTTCGCGAGACTTAGGCCAGCATGGTGCAAGATGATTTTATTTTCATTTACCAGGTAAAAGGCCACTCTGAACAATTAGCTTTTTTCAGAGGTGACCTGGCTACGCGTGACAGCTCATCGAAGTGTCTTACATCATTCGTGGGAATGTGTAGCAGCCAAATAATCTAAGACGCACGTTTCTAAATGTGGAGGACACAGAGAAAAATCCACGAGACCACCACGGGGTAGAACATGCAGACTCCACAGATACAGGCGTCATGGTCAGGGTCGAACCCAAGAACCAGTACAGTGGTCCTCAAACTTTTCTTGGCTACGACACCCCCTTGTTGAATTTAGTTTCAACCGAGTACCCCCTTGCCTGACCCAACGTGGGTCTTGTAAATAAATGTATGAATAATGAACATCATTATTTTAACCAATTGTCCATTTTGTGAGGAATCATAACTATCTGAAAACTGCAAGCGAATAAAGCAAAATCAACGGACGCTTTGCATGCGTGACGTAATTTGTTCGCGCCCAGTTCGACGCTCTTGGAAACCCACTATTGTTGACACCGTTGTAGGTCAACACATGGATTCCAATGTTTCAGTTTCATTCATTTTATATTGGCAGATTCGTACATGATTATTCACCAATGACTCCCACGTACGATATAATGTCATACATTTATATAAATCACCTCACGTACCCCCTGGGGCACTGCCACGTACCCCCTCCCACGTTGAATGCCACTGCATACCAAACGAGAGAGATAACATCTCGCGGTGGCGAGCCAGCTCCATCCTCAGCCGCATTTGTTTCCCCGTGACGGATGTTTTTTCATTCACCACAACAGGCACTTATTTTAAAGCTGAGTGGACCTAGCGGGGGCTCGGGACCGGTTAATATGTTCGTCACTGATGTTGTTCGTAAGCGGGAATTGGAAGCGAGTTGGCTGAATTAGGTCCCAGCGCAGTGCACTAACCTCTGCACCACTGCTGCCCAAGAGAAAAATGGGAAATAAGATAAAAACACACGCGCGCACATGTAACAAAGTATGAGTAAGAGACTGAACGTTTTTAATACATCTGCAAAACCTCCCCGTGACATCAAAATTGCAAACGAATTTCTTTAGAACTCCTTTTTGTGTTTAGTTTGTTCTTGTAGCACGATTGGCTGCGTACCGTGTGAAAGAAGTTCAACATACACACATACAGGCGTGTCGTCAGTAAAACGTTTTTCAAAGATTGATCGCAGCATTATCACTACCATAAAATGTATTTCCTAAATGGAGATTAATAAAGCTCAAAGGCTCAAACAACCTTTTGTAGTGAGCGCGCAGCCTATCCAACACGTAGGACCACATTTAGAGGACAGCACACAGGTCCCAGACCACGGAAAAACATCAGTGGCGAGTGATATATTCACCGGGTCTGGGACCATAGCCCTGCGCCAACCCAAAACTGACAAGCGTGGTGAAGTATGGACACACGACCCCGTGAGTGGACACACCACGTGTGGACGCATCCAGCAGCGAGTGGACGGCACATCCAGCAGTGGATTGCAATGTGCCAGCAACGTTATAGGAAGTTACTTTTCATTTAAACGTGTTTCATCTTCTTGGTTCTTTCGGTAAAGTCACGTAGAAGGAAAATAATAAAATAATAAAAATAAAACATAATAAAATCTTTTATTATGTTATGTTTTATTACTTTTATTACTTTATTATTTTCCTTCTACGTGACTTTACCGAAAGAACCAATAAGATGAATCCCTGCAGTCACGAAAGCTTTAAATCGAAATTTAAACGTGTTTGTTTAGTCATACGTTTTGGTCATTTAAGGGGTTGTCTTGTCTTGCTCAAAAGCGACGATAAAGTAACTGTTCATATGTCAATTTAGAAATTGGTCATCGACAAAATATTTATACATTCTGATTCTTATCTGACCCCATCGAGTATATTGTAGTCTCAAGCTATTAATTTTATTTTATATCGGTACTATTCTACATAAAACCGACTATATAATACATGAATGGGGAAAACCGACTCGTATCAATAAACTATGCAATGTCCATGCCAACTAAACACAAAGGCAAATGCTAACGAATTCAAGAACGCACATTGGGGGGCACTCGGCTCAGTATGCGTGTGTAATAAAATGTTTACAGGTTGGACAAAGTTATCGTTATAGCCTACGACAATGCGTCTATTTCGAGCCGTTGTTGTTAAGTCCAAGTTAAAAATAACAGTTGTAAACAGCCTATGTGTACTATATGTGTGTTAATTGGAAGGAGGGGAGAGAGAGGAGAGCAGGGGGGAGGGTGGAATTCGTCCCATAGCGTCACTCGCTCGCTCGCACGCACTCGGCGGGAGGACGTGTGCCGCGTGCGGATGACCCAAACGTAGTAATGGTGCATCCACACACACACGAGCGAACGAGCGAGCGAGCGCCGTTTCGAAACGTCGAATTCGCAATTGCGCTCGCCGTTTAACTGCCACCGCAGCTGACAATTGCTCGCCTTGAGCGTCCGATTGCACACACGCGCGCTTCCCACTAAGGCAGAGGGCGCAAACAACTTTAACGTCGGGCAACATGGGGCAAAACCATGAGCGTCGATCGATACCCATCGACGGTTGCGGCCAAGGTAGCTTCTGAATTCTTTTTTTTAAATAGACAATTCGCAATAGTTTTTTTTTTTTTCCGGTAAAGTCACGTAGGTAAAATTTTTAAAATAAATTAAAACTCGCAATAGCTCAGCGGGGCCCTACTAATGCTGAAATAAAACAAAGTTTCGTTCAGTCAGTCCTCCGATTGCTTGGAGCCAATGTGCGCGCCGTTCGCCACCAACAGGAAGCCAATTTGACGCCGACAGCCGATGACTTTAATGGTCTTAATGAGCGAAGCGGCGCATACATTTCCGAAGAGGAAGAACTGTAGAAATCAATTGCCCCTTTTAAATGCGGCTGTATAACAAGGTAGTAGTCGCAAGGGTGTTTTTTCGCGGTATTTTACAAGGCAGTTAACAATCATGTATGAGGTGTGTGTGTGTGTGTAAAACATTAAACACAATACCTCGTGCTGTGCCGAGTGCGCTGTAGCCCGGCAATAGAGATAGCAGATCTCTGTGGTTGTGTAAAAAGCGGGGAGTTTTAAAGGGCTAGGTAGACATGCGCACAACCTTCAGCTGTCCATCCGCATCCGTTCTCACGTCGCTCGAGTGCGAGTTGGGCTCCACGCTAAAAAAAAAACAGGGAGAGGCAAATAATTGGACCAATCTGAACGACCCTCGATCTCTCTCCCACACCACCCCTCCACACCTTCCTCAGCACCACCCTCCACACGCACTGGCAGAATTTCCCCCCCCCCGCCCCCAACCCCCTCTCTCCTCCTTGGATGCAAATTTAGTTTTATTGTTTGACGAATGCGTGACTTCATCAATATTCAAATCGCTTTGTTTCCGTGACCTATAAAGGGGAGCACCGATTTTGGGAGTAAGTTCATTTTATTGACAGCTATTGACCGACCCAGTTTCAGTTGGAGAATATAAAACACTGCCGGTGACCACCAACAGCGACAAGTCAAGACGAGCACTACTACCACCAACAGCTACAAGAGTCAAGGCGAACACTACTACCACCAACAGCTACAAGAGTCAAGGCGAACACTACTACCACCAACAGCTACAAGAGTCAAGGCGAACACTACTACCATCCAGGTACGTCGCACAATTCACAGAGGAAGGATCCCCGCCGAATCGCAGAGCCGAGAGAATAACAGTTGCGCATTGTTGCGTTCAGGTACTGAGCCATATTTGTGTTCCTTCAAACTGTTAGAATTCGTAGGTGTTTTTTTCTTCTTCTTCAATTTCTTCAATTTAGGACACTCGTGTTTTAACAGGGAAACGTCGGAAGTCTGGGGTGGCACCAGTGTTACTTAACAACTCTTAGGTTTTTTTGTCGATAAAGTCACATACATCAATCCTTGCAGTCACGAAAGCTTCAAATCTAGAACGTGAAGTCAATCCGACTGACGACTATCTTTTTTTTTCTCCGAATGAAGAAAACTCGATTTTTTTTCCACAAAGAATATATACTTCAACCCTGTGATAATTTACAACGTATATTTCCTCAGTTTAATGCTATTTTAGGAGCTTTAACTGTTATCGGAAAAAAATGTGATTGTGGCTTTGGCACGTGATACTGAATAACGATATGAAGACAATCCGCACACAATGTATTGTGTGCCTCCACTCACGTGAGGTGGGTGGCTGGGTTCATTGAAACATACAAACGCATTATTTTTATTAATTTTATTTCATTTTTTACCTACGTAACATTACCGAAAGAACTAAGAGTACAAACGCAGCTTCCCGGCAAAAGCGATTGGTCTCAATAGTAAGTTGTCTTTTGTCGATGTGTATCGACAACAAAAAGGGACATTCAGTTTTGGATTAAACAGATCTCATCGACATTTGACTCTAACTTTGCAGCACGTTGGCTACAACTTGAATTACAATTGCAACGAATGACACTAGACGCGCATTCCCTACTCATTTCTGTTGTGTCAATATTTGACGATACCCGTTTTTTTTGTCGTAATACGCTCACCTAATGCCACCTGCAGGCTATATGAAGCGAGCTCTTTTTATTTTGCCGACCGCGCCTCACAATAGTAATCATAATAAGAATAGCCAACTCGCGATGCTGTGCGTACGTACGCACATGGTTTCAGACACCTGGCAATGATTGTGAACCTGCGTGGTCACACGGTCTCTTGACACACGCGTTGCACGATGAATGCAAAGTGGCACAGTTAAATTGCGTAAAGAAAAAAACCATACTTAACACAGACCACCGGTTTCCTCGCTTAAAGATACGATTTGCTGCATCGCCTTTAATTTGATATGTGATGTAAGGCATGACTAATACACTGTATACCGAATGGACTTCTTTCAAGTTGTCCACTCTCCTTATTACAGTACTTATATTTTAAACATATATAATCAGACATTAGCTTGCGTTGCTTTTCGTGTGGATGGAGATTAAAAAAGTTCAGCTTATAGTTAGTGCAGTAGTGCATTCTCTTGCAACTTGTATGTTTAAAAAACACATTTACATTGTCACGAGCACACCGATATGCGTTTTGACCATCGTTCTATACTAAAACATATGCGTGAAACAAATCTTGTCTTAACATCGCAACAAAAGTACGACAAAAGATTTGTGTGCCCTTCAAGCTTAGGCTATCTTTGCTGATTGCTCTTATTGATGCAGGTTAATTGCCCACGCATCGCTTTTGCAAAAAATGTAATCGGGCGAATACAAATTTTGGGTTTAAACAAATTTTTATTTGAAACTGTGTAGAATAATTAAAACGACATTTGCTAACCATTTCACCTGGGGATGATTGGACAATAGCTAACACGCATACAAAACTGCACAACAACACGAATTTGACAATTCAACACAGTACTTAGTTTGAGAAAGGTTATGACCAATGCTTAAAGTTCTATTACGAAGTAAACTTAGGTACAAAACCTCGACCCTGTTATCGATTGTATTTTTTCCCGAAACATTAAAAGTAGCTTAGGAATGAGATGTATTACGTAGGTAAGCACGGCTATGTAAAAGATAATGAAGCCAACTTGATTCGTGCATAACCTTGAACTGTGATATGTAGACGACAAAGTGGATCGAATACTTTGGTAATGAGTGCGCTTATTACTAACTACCCACATTAATTAGCAAATGTGTGTGTGCAATGTAAGGTTGCTGTTTCATCATTGAATGTGCTATTAATATTCCCACTCTGTAATTCAACATTTATATTGTTCGTATTTCATGTACGAAACATTGACCTCCCGCCGGATATCTTCGCATACAAAACTAAAAACAAGCCCTCAAGTTTCCAGTCGCATCACATAAAACTGCATTTCACCAACCATACAATGTAGCAATCTGAAAGATGTATGCATGTACTGCGTTCTGAAAAAATATGATTTCTAGCTCAGTGGGCCGACCCTGGTAAAATAAACTAGAAAGATATTGAACTTTTTTGCACCCCTAAGTAGCCAAGCGTGCTAATCGGAGGTGCGAGACTTTAAAAAAAAAGTAGCCAACTCCCCCTTCCAGACTTTTCCAGCTTTCACGCTCCACTGCTTTCTCAATAGCAGAGTCCCCCAATGCAAACCATATAACTCCAAACGCGTCTCGCGGCTCTACAATCGGCCAAGCTCATTGCAACCGCAGGAGGGATTAAAACAATAACACTCCGAATGAAATCCTCAGGCAGCAATAAACGAAACGTAGACTTCCAGTGCAAGTACACCGCCGTATATGCATGTAATTAGAAGAGAGAGAGTTACAGCTATTGTTTAGGACTGCTGTTTTTGGCATTTGGATCGGGTGTGCTTAAACACACAGAGTCGGTTAAGCAACCTAAGAAATTCTGTTTGCGAGCCTCCCCTTTAAATGTATAAACTCTTTGTGGACAACGATGCATGCCAGAAAGACATAGATGAGAGATATTAATTAGCTGTGTTATGTGAATTCGATTCTTACGATTACGTTCATTCAGATCTTAAGTAGAGCTGATATTTGGCGCATCTGACTTTCCTCAGGAATTCGAGTTTTCCCCCCTTGAGCTGTTTGGCGCGGTAAAGATTGTCCGATTAATTCCCCAATACCATCAGCCACCACCCCAAGGCATAGGCGTAATTACAGCTTTGGGTTTCATTGCGCAGGTCGCCCTCAAATCAGCCGCTAACAAAATCGAAGATGACAATCGGAGATGGCTTCCCTCCGTTCTACGGCGAGCGTCGTACAGCCGCCAGTGTCGACCTGGAGCAGCTGATCGTCATCGTCGTCTTCTGCGTCCTCGCGGTCGCCTTCTTGCTCATCCTGCCGGGCATCCGTGGCCGAGCGGTAAATCATCACGCACTTTCGCCGCACAACATTGTTCAACATAATTTTATTATGTTTTATTTTTATTATTTTATTACTTCCCTTCTACGTGACTTTACCGAAAGAACCAAGAAGATGAATCCCTGCAGTCACGAAAGCTTTAAATCAAAATTTAACATTGTTCAACTCTCACCTACGCTTCGTTTAAAATTGTGACTGAAAACTTTCGTGACTGCAGGAATTCATATTCTTGGTTCTTTCGGTAAAGTCACGTAAAAAAAAAAAGTAGAATTTTTTTTTATTACATTTTTTTTTCTTTTCTATCTACGCGACTTTAACGAAATAACCAAGAATATGAATTCCTGCAGTCACAAAATAAATTTAAATAAATAATAAAAATTAAATAAATATACATTTATCTACATGACATTACCGAAAGAACCAAGAATATACACTTCTTTTGTTTAAAGGCCGAGCGGTAAATCATCACGCATTGTCCCTGCACACATTGTTAAACTCTCACCTACACTTATTTTGTTGTTATAAACCGAAGGGGTCACATTTATTTATACAGAGTCTACTGGCCAGATTTTTTTATTATATCTGCATGCACTTCAATTCTGTGCCTCTTCTCAAAAGTCACACCACCACTATCCGTAACACAGATATCCTCCATGCACGTATAATTAAGACCCATCGACTAACATAGAGAGTATAGATGGTTTCATAATTCGTATAGGAATGGCAATGGGTTAGTGCAGTCAATGATCAGAAGCTTAAGTTATTTTGCACACTGCGATTAAATAAGTTACCTTTTGTAATAGAATGTTTATTTTAACGTATTATAACATTCCGATGTCCTTTGATGTATCTGTGATTGCAGCGAATCTACTGGTTCATTCGAGTGCTCCTCAGCCTGCTGATCGGATGCATGATAGTCGGTAAGAAATCCGAAACGTTTCTTTACGCATTGCATAAATTCCACAAACTTTAATTACCTGTGAAGATGGGACGCGATTAATGATAAGCTTACCTACACAGATAATCTTTGGGAAAGCTATATTTACAACATACGAATTGCAAAAAACACAAAGTGTTCACAACATTGGTGCCACAATACAGTGCTGCTTGTGCAACATCGAGCGTGAGCCTGCACGCAGTTAATCCGAAGTGGCTAACGCGGTTCGCACTGTGGAGATAAACGTTCGAACGATGTCACTCTGCTCTCTCCCGCCGTCACCCGCTCAGTGGTGAACTTCCAGACGCACTGGGAGGTGGGCCACGTGGAGACGCAGACGGAGTACCGCGTGGCGGATGGCAGCACCATCAAGGCGCGCATCGGCCTCGGCGTTTCTCTCCACGGCTTCAACATCACCCTGAAAGGTACCGGATAACGCCCAGCCTACGAAACACACAGCACCACCCATCCACCCACCCACCCACCCACCGTGTGCTTGCAGGTTGTGCCCGCGTGTTGTTCGGCACGATCTTGGACGTGTCGCTGCATGTTATAATGCACAGCCTGAGAAACCCATCATAGAGCTATGCGAGCACAATGGCGAAAGCCTACATAGTACCATGAAGCATGCTGCACCTAAGACCTACTACGTAAGAAGAATAGCGCGATTGTTATTAACGGGAATCATAATGAATGTCCTGGAAATGATTCAAGCAATACGTTGACTACTTCTTGACCAATGTAAATACTACAGATTGTCTAGAAGGGATAAAAAGCTGGAATTTGGCATAAATATAGCCGAGTCAAAATAAATAACGTAAAAATTGGGCACCCAAAATTGCATCCCAGAGAATAAATTGGTTTCACTCGTAGGGCAGGGTGAGCCAGACATTTAAATTCCTATGTTGAACACTTACAAATAGACACTCCCCTGATCATCAGTGATGCAAGTAACTCACCCCCTGTGGATGTGTGTCAATAAAGCCAATGGAGAAATTACTTGAATTCACGCGTACACCCGCAATGCATATCATTTCTAATTTCTAATTATTTAAAATGTATAAAAAGTATTCAGCAACAAAATAAAGCGTCTCTGTCCAAAGTGGCAGCGCTAATCTCCATCTGATGCCAAGCCAATGCTGCAGATTCCACATTCATTTTTCAAGGACCATTGTCTAAATACGACCAATATTTACTGCCCAAAGTGATATTCATTTCATAAAGACACTATGCAGGGTGATGTATAGAACGCATGCTATTTGGTGATGCTGCATTGGTAGTGGCGCACAAGCAGACATCACAAAACACGTGAAGACATTCGTCAATAACACTGCCTTGAAAGGAAATCTGTATAATAGGTCCCGTTTGGCCTTTCTTCATAGCACATTCATCATCAGGTGCTATGAAGAAGGGCTGTCGCCATTAATAAGGGCCATTTCCCAAAACGTCAGCTATTATATATTTGTTTTCCTTTAAAGTCAGTGTTATTGACATGCCATGGGGGAGATATTGCAATCCAACCTCAATCGCACTAAACGATTGATTGACAACGCATGTAGGGATACCAGCGTGATTCACGTCTCTTAATCCATACGGTAGGTAGATCATCTGCTTTAAATGTAATATTTATCTATCATGCAAAAGGAGCCTCAATCAATCCATCCCACAATGCGGTCAAGCCCAAAAATGACACGCGTGGTCATATCACCCCACCACACCTCCTTATGAATCGCGTTCTGACACCGTCACTTTCACCACAGGAACTCCGCAGATTCAGCTGAACGAGATGATCGACTACAACGAGCGCTTCACTTGGCAATCCGGCAACATCGACGGCGACTACCAGCATGCTCTTCAGAGGGGCCTTCCCGTGCCCATCCTGCAGCTCGCCGAGACGTTCGGCAGCAACAGCGCCTGCGCCAAAGTGTCCCAGTACGCGCAGGCGGGGCGATACGCCTCCGCGCTCATTTGGTGAGGCCACAGCAGCATTTTTGTTACTTGCCCAACATGCACGAGCGGATGTCGTACGGTTAAGTTCCATACCGCGTGTGGTTTTAACTCCCAAGTACAAAAAAAATTGGGGGTCTCTCTCCGGAGGGTGTGTTTTTGGGTCGTACCGCGAGCTGTTCGGCACGGAGCCCGACGTTTCGCCGCACGTTGCTGTGAGCATCATTCGTGCCGAACAACACGCGCAACAAACTCGAAAAACGCCTCGGAGAGCTATACGGCGCACAACTTCTGCGGAAGTAAAAAAGTTTTGCCAAAGTTTTTTGCCAAAAAAGCTCATCGACAGCACATAAGCCACCCCAATTGGTTTTTACGGTGCACCTTTAGTGAGAAATTCGCTTCCTCAAAAGCCATCAATTCTATTGACTCCCTGTCTCGGCTCAATGCCTTATTTTGCCTCTATGACCGATTGCACTTTTCTACGAAATAAAAATGGCCAGTTTCTGCACAGCATCGATAGATTGTGGCCGCATTTACATGCTACGCAAACCTAAATTGCATTCTATTGCTCGTTTACCATTGCGAGAGTATAACAGCATCTGCAAGTATTATCACGTGTGTACCAACCTCCACCATTTAATTTGCCGTTTTGTTGAATACATTCCGCGGGGGTGGATACATCGAGGAAACGCGTCGGCCAGTTTTTTTTATTAAGGAACATCCGATGATGTTAAATGCTTCCCACGACTTTTCGCTCTTCTCACGTGCAATTCGCGAACGACCAAATCGAGCACCGTCGTGAAACCACCTTCCGCGCTGCGTCCACCCCAACCCTGCAGGGTCGCGTTTGTCTGCTGGGTCCTCTCCAACTTGCTGTTCGTCATCGTGCTCCGCTACGGCGGCGCGGCGCTGCTCATGACCGGCTTCTTCCTGGTGACGGCGCTCATCTCCTTCGGCTGCACGCGCCTCGCGCCGGTCTGCCAAACCCGACTGGGGCTCGAGAGCGTCTCACTGCAAACCACTTTTGGATACAGCTTCTGGCTCACGCTCGCCAACGGTGAGCAGAGGACAGCGTTGGACACAATGGTGTAGAACAATATAGAACAAAAAAGAAACGATTCTAGATTTGAAGCTTTCGTGACTGCAGGGATTCATCTGCTTGGTTCTTTCGGTAAAGTCACGTAGAAGGGAAGTAATAAAATAATAAAAATAAAACATAATAAAGTAAAATAATATAATACAATAATAATAAAAAAATATATAATATATATTTATTTTATTTTATTATTTCCATTCTACGTGACTTTACCGAAAGAACCAAGAAAAAGAAACGATTGTTAAACGCCGCACGGAATGAATGGCTGCAATGGCACGCTCATCAATACTGCACTTGTGCACCCGTTTGTATCAAAATCCCACCGATTTATTTACAGTGGGTGATTGTTAAAACCACTTGACCTAACGACAATTTACAATTTGATTATTAAAGCATTGCTAATAAATCGTTTGCAGCTATTGGTGTGTTAGAGTAGCAATTTTTATTTTACTTTTATTAATTATAATTTTCTTTTTTACCTACGTGACTTTACCGAAAAAACCTAAGAGCATGTTAGAGTAGCCTTAGATTTAAAATGTTGGTGCATTTTTGGTTATTTAAAGAACTAAAACCTGGCTTTGGCAATTGATTTTTAACTAAGGTTGATTCTACTTATTTGAATAGCTACAGCGAAACATGTATATATGTCATCGGAAATAACACATCCCATTGAAGTTAAAATAGAGGGAAAAGTTTAGCGATACCTGGTTAATAATAAAAGACGACCATAGATTACTACCCAACCTTGTAGCCAACAGTATAAATACGCCTCGTATTATCCAATGTCAGGGATGCTGCGATGGCGTAATAGTCGTAATCTCCCGACAGCAGTTGAAACAATGGTGCAAGTTTATTCAATCCACTCACCTCTGTCCACCAAAATCCGTTGATTGGTAGTTCGCGTGTGGTGGGGTAAAGTGTGGGTACTCTCTGCCGCTTCCAAGACGTCTCAACAGTGTGAAAGAGTTGGGGATGTTCACTCCCTCGCCTGGTGTACACGAACTCGTGGGTTCGATCCCGACTCTGACGCCTGTACATTTGGAGTTTTTTTTTTATGTTCTCCCTGTGGTCGCATTTATTTTTCTCCAGGTCCCCCGGTTTTTTTCCTCCACATTTAAAACATGTTTTAGAGTGTTTGGCTGCTCTAAATGTCCACATGATAAGCCAGTTTTTTGGGCTTTAATTTGTGGCCAGGTTGCTTCTGAAAAAAGAGCTATATATAGCTCAGTAGGCCTTACTTGCTAAAATAAAATAAAGTTTCTAATAGTTGAATAAAACTGCCCTCGAGAGCTCCCTCTATTGGAGGCTCTTTATGGCAGGAGTGACTCGTGCAAGAACTTTAAAAATTTATTTTACCAAGTAAAGCCCACTAAAAGCTATATATACATACACAATAACTCAACGAAATTTACTAAGTTGAGCTATATATAGCAGCGGCGTGTTTTAAATGTGGAGGGTAAAACCAGATGCAAATCCACACGACCAAGAGCGAGGAATTCTAGATTTGAAGCAAGAGGGAGGACACGCAAACTCCAAATATACAGGCATCTTTAGGGTGGGGATCGAACCCACGGCCTCCTGTATACCAGGGCGAGGTAGTGAACATCTCGCCACCGTGGCACACACACGGCCGTGCCTTGACCTGCCATTACATGGTGTCACCGCCGTTGTTGAATCGTGTTATTAATTCTTACTAATTCCCCCTCCCCACCAACCCACTGCATTCTCAGCCGTACTCTGCTTGCTGCTGGGAAGCCTCGTGATTGGTGCTCATCTCATGGCTCCGCACAAGCTGGAGGAGTTTTTCTCCAACGAGGAGGACGAGATGGAGGACCTTGGTAATGCAGACACTTGCTTGCATTAAAAACAAAACACGTGACGTCCCCAGAACAGCGCAGACATCAATTCATGCACACATCATGGTACGACCCCTGCTGTCATTCCACTGCTGGATGAGGGGCCTCCCCACACCATGCATGTCGTGGGGAAGGGGGGGGGGTTAGTGAAGGCAGGGTGCATAGAAGTACTGAACAACATATTTCTGCACTATCCATCTGCATCCTACCACTTCGTCTCTTGGCCCATAACAACATGGTGCTCATCACTCCAAGCACTGGTCGTGATCTCAAGCCTGCTTAGCGCTGTGTGATCTGGCAAAATATACCGCGCTCTTGGTGAATTGGTCATAGGCATCGATTCATTCATCCACACCTCCGATTAGCACGTTTGGCTACATAACGGTGCGGAAGACGTTCAACATACGGACATACATTACAGACCACGATGTACAACAGTTTATATTGTTGCAGCTCTTTGCATTTTAATGGTTATGTAATCATTCAAAACATATTCTTAATAATCAAAATCAAGAAAACTAACGTTTTGATCAACCTAGTATTGCATTTCTATGCAACACGGAAATCATGTATGAAGTCTCAATAGTTCTGCATGCGCACATCAATTACATTACATGTTGCGTATACTTGAATTAACGTTTCATTTTTTTTTCACAGATGACAAGAAGCATAATCTTGTGGAATATGCCTACTTGAATGAGGCGTTTACGACGAATGCTCTCGACCCATCAAAGGCAGACATCGCAGTGGCCGTCACGGTAAGGCATCTGGCCATGGCATTCACTTGATTCTTACTGCTTTAAATCCACAATGTTGGTAACGATATCACAGCCAACCCCACAGCAATTTGATTAGCTCACGATAGTGATATAAACCTTTGCTCATTTCTTAATGTTTTTTACTCCAGATTTTTTGTAAAAAAAAAATTATTTAATCGAATTTGTACGTGCAGTTTCGCTTGCTCCATCAGCCTGCAATGCATTAAATCACCACGGCACCAGCACACGAGCCGATTTCATTGCTCCATCTCTGTGGTGAACGTCCCCCCTGGGAAGTTTTCCACAATCAATTATGCCACACGATTCAATGCCTAATTCATGCTCGTAATAATAATATTTATAAATAAGGCTCATTGATTCCTATGTTGAGATAAAGTGATATGGTTGTTTACATTATGTAGAGTAAATGTCCTATGCTCCTCTATTTCAGATTCCAGAGGCAATTAACACCCAGCTCTAACCATCCACATCTACCTGCAACAGGAAAACACTTTGTCTACAAACAGGTAAATGTTATTGCATGGCTTTGAGGTTATTCGCGTATATCATGATAGCCACGGGTCATTTAATTACGCATGATAAACATATAATTCGTAAGTTCACAATACGCACATCGAATGGTGCATATAATATTAAACGATTTCCTTACACCTTGTGTTTTCATAACTTATCTTATGCAGCATATCGTGCTTGAAGTAAGTGCTTTAAGTAAATGTAAACGACTTGTTGTATATGATTCGCCAGTGTGATCATGTTTTTTTGGTGTTTTTTTTTGTATCCCTTTCCAACACAGTTCAGACAGCGCAAGCAACTTTGAAGATCTCTCACAGACCCGAATGTAAAATGTTACAGAAGAGGAAGATTTGTGATGTGCAACACATTCCACTGTTTGAACGCTTTGTACTGAAACAACTACACTGTCAGTGCAACACACTCCATTTCGCCATGTACTTTATAACGTATGAGATTTACAATATTTATAGTTATGTAATTATTCCATCAAATTGCACATGATGTATTTTTTTACAAATACGTGCAGTTCTAACCTGTCGATTTAATTTACAAATTGTACCAAATGTATTAATGGGTAGAAGTAAAGTATTTATAGAATTCTTTTTATACGTTAAGTTTTAACCGCTACGTGAACTGCTTCTCATGGAAATAAATTAATTTTCTATGAAAATTAACATATGTATATTTAACAATGTGACCAGTAACTTTGATTGTTGTTGCTTCATGTAGAAAACAATAAAAAAAAACCTTCAGTATTTGATTCTATTTTTCGATTTAAAGCTTTCGTGACTGCAGGGATTCATCTTCTTGGTTCTTTCGGTAAAGTCATGTAGAAGGGAAATAATAAAATAATAAAAATAAAACATAATAAAATACAATATATTTTATTATGTTTTATTTTTATTATTTTATATAATAATAAAAATATTTAATATAATAAAAATAAAATAAAAAATAATAAAATACAATATATTTTATTATGTTTTATTTTTATTATTTTATTATTTCCCTTCTACGTGACTTTACCGAAAGAACCAAGAAGATATTTGATTCTATGTTGTGCACCATCAGAGTCGTCCTCTGAATGAACATACTTTCAGGGTACGTGTTTATCCAGCATCCAATAACTACTAACTACTGCTTAGGGTGTTTGGCATGTTCCACATTTCTTTTCCACGTGGTGGGAGCTTCTTCGGTTCTTGAAAGATGGCATGTGGTACACTCTTGACAACAATGAGAGCTATCCAGACAAGTGTTCACGTCCAAACTTAAGAATGACCCCTGCATTTCTTAAGTTTACGTGAATCAGCTGTTGTATATATGCCTTTTTCAAAAAAATAATATGAAGTGTGATATTGCCTAGTTTTAATGTCATCGTTTTTTTGTAGACATATAATATGTATTCAGTGCGTTCGAAGCATTCGAATGAGAAGTGGAACAGGCTTGATCGCTTGAGCTGATAACTACCAATGATACAGACACGGAGACAAGAAGCCATAGGAAGGCAAAAGGAGTTGCAAACCCGACTGTTTTAATTGTGCTCATGGCACAAAAAACTCGCCACCCAAGCTATTAACTTTTTCCAAGTCTTGGCGTTTGGAAAGTTGAAGCATTCAAAATCACAACCACCGCATGGGAATATTTTCAAACATGGTATTACATGTTAACTTGATAGCATATGCTGAGGATGCAGCTCAGGAACAAAAGGTTTCAACATGACTATTTTGTATATTCTTATGAACAATCACTGTTATTCGTACATAATTGTCACAAGGTATGGCATAAGCATGAGCAACGTAATTATAATTAAATAATGGAAGCTCGCGCTGAAGCGTTGAACCTAAGGATCATTTAAGATATATTGAGTCACTTGCAGAGTAAATGACTTCGAGAAGTCGTACTGTACTAAGCGAAGAGTTGTGAAAAGCTAAGAGGTGTGCGAAGGAATTTTGATATAACACTCTGATAAGTGGAGATTTGAGTCGCGCGCCAATATCGAAAGTGCACGAAACAATTCCGAGTGCTTAATCCAGAACCGGCCCTAGACCTTTGAGGGCCCTAAGCAAAATTTAGTTGGAGGCCCCTTTGATGTATGATTTTTTTCACCCACTAGCTCGCAGTGACTCTAGGGAGCCCTCTGTTGGCCACGGGGCCCTTTGCAATTGCAAGGGTCGCTTAGTGGCTGGGCCGGCTCTGGCTTCATCCCTAGCTCATGCATCATTGTATCCTGCGGTGAGATCTGATTCCTGAGACCTGACATAATTGCACGTAATTGATGAAGCGAGAATCATTGATATTATCACGATTGATCATACCGCTAGACGAGAGCTAATACTAATAACAAGAATTTGTGTTAACTTTACGCATACTCGCTTCCTAATTACATACACATTAATATTAATTACTTGATTAATCACAAACATTATTCATTACACTCAACACATTCTTAATCATTATTTAACTACATCCACATCCTTAATAACACTTAAACACACATTTTATTATCTTAACATTTAATGACATTCATGTTTTCTCACAAATAAAACATTTAATACCTTTCGAATTTGTAATATTATTTTATTCATAAGTTTTTTAAATAATCACAATATATACAACACAGCTGATGAGCACTCAAAGTGACATCAGAAAGGTTATTGCTTGAGGAACAGGCCGACTGTGAATTGTTTTACTCATTCGTAAAAAAAGAGAATCAGAATCTTTATCAATATCTTTATTTATCCTTGGAGGAATCCGATGAGCTATGCAGCTCTTTTTCATAACGTCCAGTGGAGGTGACAGAAAAAAAAGGTGATAAAGAGGCTTCCACCCGATGGAGCTCTGGACAGGTCCTCCTAGGGGTATTTTTAACATTCTACAACAAAAGACGGTCATCTTCTTGGTTCTTTCGGTAAAGTCACGTAGAAGGGAAATAATAAAATAATAAAAATAAAACATAATAAAATAATTCTCACGACGTTTCGGCCATAGACCTGGTCTTCACCTGAGGACGGCTGCTTGCATTGTGGCCGAAACGTCGTGAGAATTTTGTTTAATTTTTATTATTTTATTATTTCCCTTCTACGTGACTTTACCGAAAGAACCAAGAATATGAATCCCTGCAGTCACGAAAGCTTTAAGTCGAAAAAAAAGACGGTCACTCCATAGCGTGCGCTTTCAGAGCACTTCTGCGGCCGTCTGGAACTTTTATTCGGAAGCCACTGCAGCTATGCACTTTGAAATCTATTTTGAAAACTCATTTCTTTAGAATAGCTTTTTGTGTTTAGTTTGTTGTCCTTCCCCCGCACCTCCGATTAGAGCAATGGGCAATGTATGGTGCGAAAGAAGTTCAACATATATACATAGATTGCCTCACCTCCCTCTGCTCCCTCCACGGGATTCCCATTACAAGCAGGGTCGTCCACGAGATCCCCTGCCTCTTGCCACCGTGCCTATACTGCCCGTTGTCCACAGTATCTTCATTCACTCCCTTGACCCTGTACTACAGCTCATGGGAGATATCTCTGCATTTCAACTCTGAACCCGCTCCCTACTCCAAGAACCAGGATCGCCAATGCCAGGCGTCCTTTCTCCCGTGGCAGTCTCCTCCATCCAGAACGCCATCCCACTGCACATTCACGGCATTTACTCGACATGTGCTCTGAAGCGAAACTTAAGTCACAGCCTCAGTCATGGTGATATAGGTCTGTGAAATATTATGCGCGTTATAAATGACATGAATATTAAGGGCCATCACATCATCATACCCTCTCACAACACCACATCATCAGACCATCTCACTATACCATCACATCATCATACCCTCTCACAACACCACATCATCAGACCATCTCACTATACCATCACATCATCATGCCCTCTCACAACACCACATCATCAGACCATCTCACTATACCATCACATCATCATACCCTCTCACAACACCACATCATCAGACCATCTCACTATACCATCACATCATCATACCCTCTCACCACACCACATCATCAGACCATCTCACTATACCATCACATCACACCACCAAACCATACATCTACTGCGCAATAGACACGAAAGATCCCGTTCAGTCATTCACAAGAGTAAGCCATTGTGTGCAGGCATCATGGTCCGCATTTTCCAAATTTGAAAAATTACCTGCGAATTACTCAATTGGAATATACATCGCAATCACCAGCCCCAACTGCAAAAACTTGACAAGACCATTTTGAAAATCACTGCTGAGACACAGTGAGATTATCATGGGTAAAATATAATAATAAAAATAATAACCATCATGGCCTACTCATGCAGTGACCTGATGCCATCATTTTTACGTACGCAGATTGACATCAATCATGATCTTTCTATGTGATCTGATTGGAAGCTGCTGTCCGAATGGCCCACTTGGGACTTGTTCATATTTGGGGAAATTCTATTTTTTTACAATGTAAAAATGCTGGTGCCAATCATTTAAATAAATCATGAGTAGGTTTGGCATTCACGTCATTCTTGTAGCGCAAGGCTATCCGAAAGTGCTGTTTCATGTATGTATGTACTTTGAACTTCGTTTGCACCATACGTAGCCAACCGTGCTAATCGGAGGTGCGAAAAATTGTCTGCAGTAGTTTTGAAATAGGGGCGATGTTGCTATGTGCAATCCCAATTGAGCATTTTGAAGGAAAGTGTTATAATTTGTCTAAGTTGGACCACGACGTCTGCACACAAAGTCCTACTCTTTTAGAATGACATTAAGGGATCTATAACATCCAATATTTAGCAGATGGCATGTTATGGTCAATACACCCGCAGTATTAACAGGGCAGCCTGCCAGATTCGAACCCTAAATCTTTGCCACAAGCTGCACCAATTATTTACGGTGACGATTGCCAGCAAACCATTGCTCTAAAATTCCCCCCAGTGGATCTTGACAAATGAGTAAGGATCTCGGAGTGAAAATTCTATAACTTTAGGAGTCATGTTATGAGCCATGTTATACAATACTAGACAGGACTACATTTTATATGGGATATGTAAAAAATATGTTGATCACTTTCATATTAACCATCTCATCGCACCTGTGTATTGAATGTCGAAGTGAAGATTCTAACATTTTAACTCAAGACTGTGAAGCCTATCAAAATGATCGACGCGTCATTAATCGGATGCATTCAAGTTGGAGTTATAGCAACATTCCTAAATGTTAGATTATTAAAACATTTTGCAATTCAGAAGACCACAGTAAAAATGCAACTAATTACAACTCCTCAGTTACATTGACTGCACTGCAATTTCACTGAGAAGCCAACACATTATCATCAGTGTCAATGTAGTACAACTGGCGCGTTGTTCGATGTAGTTGTAATGTTGCAATTATAATAAGACAATTATAATACACGATGACGTTATTCTAAAAGCAGTTGTAAACTTTTTAATCAACAAATCTACCCACGCATGGCTAACTCTTGTCAGCCAAATGCAGTATTTTTACACAGAGCATTTGATAGTAAATACAGTACATATATTTGTTTTGTTCCAAATAATATTAAATACATAATCATGGATATATAAAATATAGCATTATACATACATTTCATATCATTATTGAGTTGGAATATCAAATTAAGAACTTTCAAAATTCCCAACGTGAACAAGTGTTGGACGGTGGCCATCTCCTCTGGTGGTCTTGATTTGATGGTGGAAATGACACGTTCTTATAGTGGGCACAAATATTTCAATAGAACAGCAGAGGAGCGACCTGAATAAACGTTGATTCTTTTTTGCTCATCACTAATCCAAAGAAGGGCGATGGGGCTAAGGTGACCCTGGTCAGGGCTTAAACTCATCATCATACAATTTCAAGGTTGCAGTTATAATGAGATATGCAGGGTGACCCAGCATACAGAAAAGGCAATAAAGCAATACTAATGTAGGGATAAATAACAGAGAAAGCTCAATATGATTTCAAAGCCTCCACATGTTTCCCACCAATCTCACTCCACTTCTAATTATTTTAACTCTCGCCCGTGTAAAATATGAAGCCATCACTTTGACAATATTCAGTCACCTGCTGAGTTAATAGGCAAGCGAGAGGGTTGTTAGAAACCAGTAGGGGTATCTATAAATGAATCACTGTGTACATCGCAGACTAAATTAGTACAGTAATAGTAATACATTTCTAATAACCACATTTTAATTTTTCAGAATAAAAAATAAACAAACTATATTGATAAATAGAATGTGTGCAATGTGCAATAAGAGGACATTTAAACAATTGAAATATTTCCAATGCTAATAAAAAAAATTGTATTGATGTAAACTCCATAATTGATTTAGTACGCATTTTTCCTTCAAATGCATTTCTCCACTGTAAATAAAATGAAAAAAATATATATAAGCTACCTCGATGTTCTGAAAACATTAATTGACCATTACAATGGATCCAACTGTCCATGCCTCCTTGGAGACTCCATGATGTCACTCTGAAACAGAATATTCACGTAACATTTATTATAGATAAGTAGAACTAATAAAAATATTTAAATATATATGCTATATACAAATAAATAGAGGACCAAGCCAACTGAATCACTGTGAAGTCTACGGTTAGTTTCCCATTCAAACAATAAGTAAGAACAACCACGCAATGCATGAATTACAAAACGCTTTCCAACATGTGTTAGTCTGCGGAAGTGTTTAATAAGCTGTGGCTGTCAGGGCAAAAAACATTTGCATATTCGCAAATAGTCCATTTGGGTCTGGTGTACACCTCCAAGCTTTGAGCAACCTTTTGATACATTTATCCAGTGTTCAATAGGGTATGTCGCAAGCTGCGCTCTATAGTGGAGGTTCGTCAATAATAGATGTTTTACTTGAGCTATCATGCCCTCTCTCTCTCTCCCAGGTCAAGGACGAACAGATGGACGGAGCTAATGCACACTAATGCTTTCAGCCTTAGTTGGACAGTTGTTTTAACGTTCAATAATCTTCTTGGTTCTTTCGGTAAAGTCACGTAGAAGGGAAATAATAAAATAAGAAAAATAAAACATAATAAAATAAAATAATTCTCACGACGTTTCGGCTACAACACAAGCAGCCGTCTTCAGTGAAGAATGAAGACGGCTGCTTGCGTTGTAGCCGAAACGTCGTGAGAATTATTTTATTTTATTATGTTTTATTTTTATTATTTTATTACTTCCCTTCTACGTGACTTTACCGAAAGAACCAAGAAGATGAATCCCTGCAGTCACGAAAGCTTTAAATCGAAACGTTCAATAACTTAAGCGATGTACGTCCAAAATCAGGCTACACTGTTTGTTAACATCGCAACGTTATCTATAGGCATTTCATGCAAAGGAATTAATTGACTGGCTTTGCCATCTTACTGGTGACGCGTCATCAAAGATGAGCGTAGACGTTCTGGTGAAACCATGCTGCCGTTCCGTCAGTCGGTCCAACAGGTCCTGCTTCTCTTGGCCCCATCTTCTCGCATTTTCCTGAATCTAATTATGGCAAAAATGTAGAGAAGTCACGATCGTTCAACCTGATCATTTGTTCAATATTTATGATGAGCGCCACGGTGAGTGAACATGTGACTCAGAATACGAATCTGTATTCAGACTGGAGGAATTCGATGAGCTATGAAGCTGTTCTTTTTACAGATGTCCAGGCTGCATAGCAATGGCAAAATGTGCTGACTTTTGTCGTATGATGAATGCTGTGCCACACACATCAAGTTGTGGATTAATGCACCAAAAAAAGTATCTGCCTCTTTCAGGAAGTATGGGGCAATGATCTTCAGCAAAAGTGGCAATGAGTCAGTGGTGCAAATTTACTTTCTAATATCAATGGTTATCAACCATCAACTTAAAAAGTAGGACTCCATTGAAGTACCCTAATCTAATGATGCATGAATCAACCCATAAAAAGGCACTAAAATTTTAAATATCCTGTGAGTCAGGGACAATAAAGATTGCTCAAACAGTTTGAATATGGTACCTGGGCAGTGGGTAAATTGATGCTGTAAAGGGCCTTTAAATCAATATATGTCGTTCTTATCACGTGTCCAAAGTAGCTCGATCATACCTGTTCCTCCAGAGAGTGTGTGCGACCTTCTGCTCTCTCCAGTCGAGCAAGAAGACCCAATTTCTCCTGGTCATGAAAGGGCTCCACCTAATATGAAACCAAAGAGAACCTTCATCATGGGACCACCTTTGCCAGTACCAAAATATACTAATAGGGTTTTTCCCCTTTTTTTTCTGGCAAGAAAAACTGACACCTTTTTGCAAGGAATCATGCTTACATTAACCACAATACTTGCAGTCAAATGCAAACAAAAAAAACAATACTCTGACAATTTATGCATTGTCTTTGAAACTGATTGGTCCACACCAAAGACAGCTTTCTTTAGAGCCTAGTCTCATATGGTGTTCGACCAGATGACGCCAAAAGGCGCACAGTTCAAAGACAACGCACTACCAGAGTAATGAGAGTTCGGGGTGAAACAGCTACATCATGGGACCTCCTTTGCAAGTACCAACCAATCAGTTTCAAAGACAATGCATAAATTATCAGAGAATTGTTTTTTGTTTGCATTTGACTGCAAGTATTGTGGTTAATGTAAACATGATTCCTTGCAAAAGGAGTCAGTTTTGTTGCCAGAAAAAAGGGGAAAAACTCTATTAGCAAAGAGAACCTATCAAACAACCTTTAAAACACATTAATAAAAATGTGGCATATGAAGCATTAAATAAATGATTACAATGTATAAAACGCACAGCGGGAATTTTTAAAACAAAATAGAGAGTCGGTTTTCTCAGTTGCTTCAAGTAGCTCTCTGTTGTGTTTTCGAATTGTATGACCTGTTGTTCAGCACGATGTCCGGCCTTTTTCTCCACGTGCTGGAAGCCAAAGGAGCTCCCAGTGATGCGGACAGAAACGTCGGACAAAATACCGAAAATGTGCTGTACGACTCTAAAACACATCGGAGACCAATATTTACAGTTCAAGTTTATTTTATTTGTTGCACAGATGCTTCCGTTTAGCTGGTTTCCTGGCTACTTTACGAGGGTGCATGAGCATAGCAGCAAGAAAAACAAGAGAGAAAAACATCAATATTGCACAGAACGAGTGCAATATTAACGAGTGCAACTAACAAACGAGGAATACAAAAAATAGTCCAGATACGAGAGCAAGAGGCACCAGAAAAAAAACTTAAGTACAGGTGGAAGTAATAAAGAGATAAGTCTTCTTGGTTCTTTCGGTAAAGTCACGTAGAAGGGAAGTAATAAAAAAATAAAAATAAAACATAATAAAATAAAATAATTCTCACGACGTTTCGGCCACAACGCAAGCAGCCGTCCTCAGGTGAAGAAGCATTCGTCGTGAGAATTATTTTATTTTATTATGTTTTTTTATTTTATTTTATTTTTTATTACTTCCCTTCTACGTGACTTTACCGAAAGAACCAAGAAGATGAATCCCTGCAGTCACGAAAGCTTTAAATCGAAAGAGATAAGTGTTGGTCAATAACAGCATTAGGCAGGAAATGCTCAGATCAACCATATACCGTAGGCATCATTACCATGTGAATGGTGGGGATGACATCAGCTGTCCGAATCATCTCAAGTTCATGCCGCAGGCGAGCATTTTCCACCAAAAGCACCAGCTGCATGTCCCTGGCGGTGCGCTCACTCTCATTACCTGGCGGACGTCATAATTTCGCGTAAAGCATGAATACAACGTGGCTTTTTACGTACAAAAACACCTAATTTTCTAAATTAATATTTCGTGTTTCTTTCGCAATTTGTACTCCACTTGTCTGATCGACATCATGCACTTCTGATGAGCACGGTTGGCTACGTACGGTGCGAAGGAAGTTCAACATATGTACATACATGAGATGGTGCTATTGATATAAGTTTAATATTTCCTGTGGTGGGGACCAGTATCTTCAAATCCAGATATGTGATTGGAGGAAGTCGTGACCCACACCTCCCCATCTGAGATTACACTCACGATGTTTGGATTGTGAGCCGAGTTTTTTCATCAGCAGCACCGGTGGCTGTAGGAGCCCTGTACCAGAGTGGGGCTTCTGAATGATGCCCAATCATGGATTCAATCGGGATGAAATGTTTAAAGCAGAGACACATTTGCATATATATTCATATTCGGGGTGGAACGATGCATCAAATCACTGATTGATATCAATTCTTCAGCTCACAATACAAGCATTGTTTTGCGTGATTCACATTTCACTCGGCACCGATGTTAGCCATGGTGAGGAATAAAACACAGGTCTCCGGCTCCAAAAGCTGTAAGACTTCTCGTTGTATTTTGTGTCTCTTTCGCAATTTTACTCCACTCCGATCAGCACGGTTGGCTACGTACGGTTGCGAAAGAAGTTCAACAACATACATACAGTGAGGGAAAAAAGTATTTGATCCCCTGCTGATTTTGTACGTTTGCCCACTGACAAAGAAATGATCAGTCTATAATTTTAATGGTAGGTTTATTTGAACAGTGAGAGACAGAGAATAACAACAAAATCCAGAAAAACGCATGTCAAAAATTGTATAAATTGATTTGCATTTTAATTGAGGGAAAAAAGTATTTGACCCCTCTGCAAAACATGACTTATTACTTGGTGGCAAAACCAATCAATTTATAACATTTTTGACATGCGTTTTTCTGGATTTTGTTGTTGTTATTCTGTCTCTCACTGTTCAAAGAAACCTACCATTCAAATTATAGACTGATCATTTCTTTGTCAGCGGGCAAACGTACAAAATCAGCAGGGGATCAAATACTTTTTTCCCTCACTGTACATAGAGACCTTGAAATATTAATCTGGAGCTCTTGCAAAGTAATGGGTGGAGACCGTTAACTCACGACACTTGAGAAGCCGGTGTAATCACACGTGGCCGAAACTTAGATTCGACTTCAGGATCTTAGCAGTGCCAACTCAACTATCTGGCCACACATGTTCTTGAGAGTATTCGGCTGCTAGTCATTTCCACATGATAAGCCACATCACTGAGCTATCATTTGTGGCCAGGTCGCTTCTGAAAAAGAGCTGTATAGCTCAATGGGTCTTTGCTTGATAAAGTGAACAATAGTTTAGCTTAGTTTTTTTTACACGATTACTACATGTATGTCTTCTCGAATTAACCACCGTAATGTACTTACCTTGCTTTCAAAAATTACAATCCCTCTATTGCAAAATGACAACAATCGCACAATACTGAGAGGAAAATAGAATTACGTAAAAAATACAACATTACCTTTATGTGATTTGTTTTCAGTTTTTCCATTTGCATTTGATGCGACGCTTCTTTCCAGCAATTTTTCCATTTTTTCTATCACCTATGGGGATGATGGTAAGGACCGTCACTTCATGATTAATGCACGTGAAATTCAATTATTAATTAACTTTGCTAAAACATTATGAACGGTCATGGGCCACAGTTACCAATATTTCCAGCTTACCTGAAATGTTAGTTAATACAAATAATCATTAGTTTTCTAAAGCATTCACGGAAATACTTTATTTTAACAGCACGCAATAGATACAACTTACATAACGAGTAATCGTAATGTCAATGTATAGCCTTTATCAAATACAACGAAGTTTGAAGCCTGGTAAGTAACTTTAAATTACACATCACCACGATAGACTGTGCATGGTATTATGAACTAAGATCCCAGCTGATAAAAAAAATTAACATGATAAGCCACTTCGTTGAGCTATCAGTTGTGGCCAGGTTGCTTCTGAAAAAGATGTAATTAACTCAGTAGGCCTTATCTGGTAAAAAAAAAGTTTAATTTCGCTCATTGAGCCCTTCCTGCTGAAATAAATTAAATCTATTTATCTATTAAATACCATCGTTTTTAGAATACAGATTAGGCATAAACAACTGTCCATGAGAGTATATACATTTAAACTTTTAAATGCCTAAAACGAACTGCAATTAAATTATTACACTTCACCGCTTGTAAAGGATTGGTTTCTCATCTTCATCATTAAATTGGTATTGAAAGCGTAAACTTCCTCCTTTAAAAAAGCTACATTCTTGAAGAGACCTATACATAACATGAGGTCCACTACATTACTCCCAAATATAAAATAAAAGTACGAAGCAATCTCAAATAAATAAAATATAAAAAAAGTCATGCTTAAGTTAAGCAATGAGGTAGAGCAGTGGCAACTCATGGCACCAATTTAAGGAAACAACACATTTTGCATCGGGTTTCAGGGAATGTGTGCAGATAGTTCAAGTAAAACGCATTCCTGCGGAGGGAGCTGGTAGGAACGTTGGGTTGCTCAGTCAATGGCCAGGGTCAACGGCGGCGTGGTGTATTCCGCAAATATGCCCGACTGTGAGGGCGGGCACAAGCCGGCGTGAGTAGGTTAAACGTTGAGTTTTATAAGGGCACCACAGGGTGACCAGCCCCTCCACACCCAGCCCCACTCCTCCCACCCCCCACCCAGCCCCACCCTCCCCACCCAGCCCCTCCCCACCCTCCCCAACCAGCCCCTCCCCACCCTCCCCACCCAGCCCCTCCCCACCCTCCCCTCCCCACCCAGCCCCTCTCTCCCCACCCAGCCCCTCCCTGCACGACGGACGGACACAATAATCCCCTGTGGGCTGGTGGAACCAGTGGGTTCCTACCAGTATAACACAAATGTGATGGAGTGTCTCTTCTCCATCAGAGACGCGCATGTGGTCTCTAAGTCCCCAGAAGAACTAGTGGACACCCAGCACTGGTGGTTGACATCACGATACCTGTCTTCCAGTCATCAATGGAATCACCTACGAGCAACTTTGTGAAATTCCAATGATAGAGGCTACGTAATTGCGGTGGCTACTCGCTGCAACCTCGGTCAGTATGCTGTCGGAATTTGTGCCATGCGTCGTAAAAACTTGTAGAAATAAAATAGAAAGCATATATTTATGAAAACACCCCCCGCCCCCCATTACGTTAAATGACTATATAAGTACTGTAATCAGAGTTTATCACATTCAGTTCATTGCATTCAGTAGACATTAAGAGATGCCTATAAGAATAATGCACGCAAAAGGTGATTTACAGAGAGCAATCGGTGTGCTTGTGCTTATATTACCGCTTGTCACGCAATATTACCTTCCCATATATTTCATGAACATAGCACAGTACAAGGCTATATAAAAGTCTTCATATGCATGTATATGGGGTAACTTCTCACAGCCTCTATGCAACATTATTACAACAGTAAAAAAACGTCGTACTCAGACTGTAAATGTTGTGGCTTGGCTCTCCAACACACCGGTGTGCTGTACTAGTGACGAATTGGCCACGTTCTGTTTACATGTCAATCCTTACAAATTGTCTGTGTCGGGTGGCGATGGGTTTAACGACACATTTATATTTACGGGATCTAACCCAAAAAATCCATATTATGGATGATATTGGTCTCGAAAGCCTACGTGTTAAACTTTTCCCACATCGTAAAGTTTTACTCCTCCTTTATGTGCACCTTAATGTGGCATTAAAATATTGGAATGCATCTCTTAAAGACTGAAATATGCCTAAGCTAACCCAGAGGGCATAATCTCCAGATCTACCAACCCTTTCTGCAAAGACAGTTGCTGCCTCGCGCGCTTTCAGATGCGTTTCTGCGGCCGTCTGGAACGCTCTTCCCTCCGGTATTAGGATGCCAATGGAGCTATGCACTTTTAAATATAGGTTGACAACTCAACTCATTTGTTTCGAAGCAATTGGCACGGGTTGGCTACGTATGGTGTGAAACAAGTCCATGATCTTATAGAGTGCATCAGTGATCTTTAGTAGAGTCATCTCAGTGCTGTGGAACTTCCGGTACGCCGACTGCAACGGGCTGAATCTGCCCGTCGCAGAAACGTGGGGAAGTAACTGCTTCAGACAAAGGCAGTTCTATGACCTTCGAAATCGTACTCATGTTTTGATATTGGCCAATAGTTTGTGGGGGTCACAATAGCTCAGGCCAACTTTTTTTTTATTGCCTCTGTGGTCCAAGTATCTTGGGAAAGTAAACCTTTAGTTTCAGTGGTCTAACGCATGATTGAAAATATAAAACACCCACTCATGTTATAAACTATCTACGCATTGATAAGTCTTACAATGACCAATGTAACATGACTCACACAGGGCTCCAGTTTCCTTATGGCCTCGTTTGGCTTGGAGATTACTCCTACACGAGTAGGAGTTTACTCCTACACGAGTAGGAGTTTACTCCTACACGAGTCCAAGTCATTGGCGTGACTCAATACGACCCGATCGCCAGGCGAGACAATCCGTTTTGTTTACAGCGCGCGCGATAACGTCAGTGGAAGCGAGACGTCTCGAAGTCTGCGGCGAAATCACCTTTTCCTGTTGCCGCACCGTGTCCTCCAGCCGTGCCGGCCGTGCCGCCCTCTCCTGGTAGCGCAGCAGCACCGCCTGCTGCTGCCGGTGAGCCTGCTGCAACCGAACCAGCTCCTTCTCCCGATCGGCTTTCTGCGAAACACAAGGCACACACTATGAGACATCTCCTTTACCAGTGACAAAATATAGTAATAGGTTTTGACCCTTTGAACTGGTACAAAAAAACTGACACCTTTATACAGGGCATCATGTTTGCAATAACCACAACACAAGCAGTCAAAATGCAAACAAAAATAAACAACTCTGATGATATGCACTGTCCTTGAAGTTGAAAGGGTGAAAACCTATTGCTATATTTTGTCCCTGGTAAAGGAGGTCTCATAGTGTAAATGCTTACCCCGAGCTCTCAATACTCTGATAGTGCGCTGTTTTGAGTTGTACGCCTTTTGGCGTCATCTGGTCCAACACCAATGGAGACTAGGCTCTAAGAAAAGCTGTCTCGGGTGTGGACCAATCAGCTTCAAGGACAGTGCATATCATTATCAGAGTTGTTTCTTTTTGTTTGCATTTTGACTGCTTGTGTTGTGGTTATTGCAAACATGATGCCTTGTATAAAGGTATCAGTTTTTTGTACCAGTTGAAAGGGTAAAAACCTATTACTACAAGGCACATGTGGTGCCACAACGACGGGGCCGCTCTGCCGAGCCAGGGAGCCGCCCGGCTTCCCCCACCGCACTGCCCCCCATCACCCGCCCCACATAAGCACACACCCGCACGCATTCCCCCCCCCCCCCCCCCATAGAGCTGGAAGGGAAGGTCACTTGATCGACCGGTTTTTATCCGAGAGACCCTTATCGGGATTAATTCTCACGGTTTCCGGCGATCAGGGAATTGGATGACCTCCCCGTGCTACGTGGCACCGCGGCGCTGCGGCCGGCCTTAATATGGTGTGGTCGCGGCGTGGGGCATTCGGCCACCGCGGTTGAGGCGCATTTCCCCCCACACACACCCCCACGAGTCGACGGGGCAAGCAGGGGAGGCACGGGACAGCATGAATAGCGGGGTCACAGGGGCTGTTGCGCATAGTCATGGGGGGTTGGGATAATTGCGCTTGAGCGCGCAGACCCCATTGTTAGGAAGGGTAAGGGAGTAATTAGGATGTACGCCGCCAACGTCGAGCACTGATTAGCATATCAACAGCGCCTGGGGACTGCCGTGCGCGGGCTTGGGGTGCACGAGCCCATTGTTCAGCGCAGCATCCCCTTTGGAGGTAGGGAGGATAAATAGAGGAGCGCAGAGGGGAAATCGCTCTCTTACTCCAGCGCCAGGCGACCAGACGCAGCTCGAGCCAGCGACCCGGACGTCCGTGCGACGCACCGAGGCACGCGGTTAACAGAAGGATCAGCGGACCGCCGTGGACACTTAACAGTGAGTAAGAAGGGGAATTAGAATCATAGCCGATAAATAGGGAATAGGTACAGGTTTAGTGGAATAGGCCAGCCTCGTCGACTCACTGATTCAACATCAATTCGCAGGTGGCATATAATAAATCATTAATAGCGAAGCGTGGTCTCGCGTGATCTTGTCGTGCAGTGTGAGCGTGTGGGTGCGCTGTGTGCACAGTGGTTCGCCACGGGAGTGAGCGCTGCGCGGAGCTGAGCGCGCGGGTTGCGTGTGGGAACGCGTGTGGTACTGTGTGTGCGTAAGCTCGCGGCGTGCGTAATCGGCGTACCCCAGGTGCGCGATTGTAACGTGAGCGGCCAGCGCGGCGCAGAGAAGCGCAAGAGTGAGTGCCGTACAGAGCTGTGTGTGTGGGTGTGCGCGTACGTAATTAACCATGCCTGCTACGCGGACCCGCGGTGGAGTGGAATCCTCGGGCGACGGCTCCCACCCCATGGGTGAGGAACTTAGCAGCGGTTCGCTTAGCAGCGGGGGGGCGATTGATGATGCTAGCCCGGCCGTTAGCATTATCGAGGGAGGGATCTCGGGGGCTAGCGACCCCCACAAATTGGTGTCGGAAGCGGTACGGACCCCCGCGTTACCTCACGCTAAAATAAGACTAATATTTACCGGCCGGGGGGCCCCTTCGTGGAAGGCATTCGCCCGCAATCTCTTAGGGGCCAAGGAAATTAATGGATGGACGGACGCGCAGGCAGTACGTCAACTTAATATGAATCTTGATGGGCGGGCAGCCGATTTTGTAGAAGCGTTACCCGCGAGCGCACAGACACAGCTAGAGGAGCTGATGCGCCGACTCGATCAGCGGTTTGGCACGCGTGACGAGGAGGAAGCAAAATCGGCCTTAGAGGCGCGCCGGCGCCAACCTGGCGAAGATCTACGTGATTACGCCGAGGATGTGCGCGAGTTAACAAAGATCGCACGCCCGGGGTACGCAACTGATGTTATTGAGGAACTGGCCGCCGAGAAAATCCAGCGGTACCTGTCTCGCACGGCGTGGTGGCAGCCAGACATGAGCTGCCCACGTCTTCCCTTTAACGCCCTTGTCGAGCGCGCACGTAAGTGTGAAAGAATTCACAGCGAACGCGCGCAGCTCCGGGGGCTGGGACGAGAGCGCGCCATTGCGAGCCTGCTCTCGGAAGACGAGGAGGAGGAACAGGAGCTCGCGAGGACGGTAAGGGGCCGGGAAAGAGAGCCTCCAGTGTCCCGCGAGACAACTCCGGGATGGGTTGCCGGTATACAAACGGGTATAAAGGATGTCTCCGGCCAGGTAACCCAGATAGACAACAAGGTAAACCAAGTAGGTGAGAGGGTAACCCAGGTACGCGAGGAAACGAATAAAAATATGACCCAACTGCAATCCTCCGTTGAGACCATCCGATCCGAAATGGGGGACCTACGCGCCACGGTGGGAGGGTTATCTGGGAGGGTAGCCCGACTAGAGGCAGAGGGTGGACAGCGGCGTAATGGGGGGGGAGGGAGCGGACAGGGGACCCGCTACGGAACCGCCCCCCCTCCCCGGGCATGTTATATGTGCGATCGCCGAGGGCATCTAGTGAGAGACTGTCCTGAAATCACCCGAGCTAGGCAGGCGCGGGGGTTAAACTCCAACGCCTCCTAGTGAGCGGACCAACTAGGGGTGCAATCGACGCGGTCCCGATACAAATAGACGATAATGAGAATAATGGCGAGCGAGTGATCTCCACACAGGTTCCAGCAACAACGCCCACAGAAACGGTGACTCCTGGCGACTGGCTGCGGGAGCTGGTGGCGGGGATCACGGGGGCCACGTCGCTGGTGGAAGGGGAGGTAAACGGGGTGCGTACCCGAATCCTGCTGGACACGGGGGCGGTGGCCTCGCTCGTGAGCGCAGCGCACTGCAGCGCGATCGGGGTCGACGTGCGTCACCTGCAGGCACCGGACCGCGCGCTGCACACTGCGAGCGGAGCCGGAATGGGGCTGCTGGGGAGAGCCACCCTAGAGGTCCGCATAGGCAGTCAGGTGTGCACCCAGGAGTTCTACGTGTCGAGTGCGTTGTGTCACGAGTGTATCGCAGGTACCGACCTCTTAGAACGGCTGGGACTCAACGTGCAACCCCGCCAGCGATGCGCCACCATGGAGAGCAACGGCGAGCGGATACCATTCTTGGGACGAGAACCGACGCGCCCCCGCTTCGCACCTGTGGCCGCTATCCTGGCGACGGCAGTCACCATCGGCCCGCTCACCGAGATGCTGGTGCCGGTGGCAACATCCCCCATCGACCCCGCGCTCCGACCATCAGGAGAGGTAATGCTAACTCCTCACCCGGAGTTGGCAAAACGGTATGGGTTAGTGGGATCCGCCACATTGGTAAACGCAGATGGGGACCGATTGTTTATGCGGATGTTTAACCCCCACAATACCCCAGCGATACTGCGACGGCGCACCCCAATAGCCACCGTACACCCCCTGCACGCACGCCACTCTAACGACTCGGTGTTCGCACTCTGGGCTGAGGACCCCGGGCGTCCTGAGGGTGACCAGGACCTGGCCTGGCGAGTCGGCCCGACTCCCCGAGCCGAGGTCGTTCCCCTGCTCGACGCGTTACATGTTCCATGGGCGGATTTACCTAAGGGAGAGGCCGATCGGTTGCGCGAGTTACTGCGGGAGTATGCCGACGTATTCAGTGAAAACGACTCGGACGTGGGTCGGACCGATCTTGTTAAGCACCAAATTGACACCGGTGCAGCCCGACCCATCAAACTCCCTGCGTACCGAGTGGGCGCACCCGAACGCGCCCAAATCAAAGAGGCAGTTGGGGACATGCTTCGCGATAACATAATTCAGCCCTCGGCGAGCCCCTGGTCAGCCCCGGTGGTACTAGTAACGAAAAAGGATGGGTCAACCCGGTTCTGCGTCGATTACCGTAAACTAAATGCAGTCACGCTCGGCGATGCCTTCCCCATACCCCGCATCGACGACACCTTCGACAGTCTCGCAGGAGCGCGGTATTTTTCCACCCTCGATCTGGCGTCCGGTTACTGGCAGGTGGAGATGACGGAGGAGGATCGGCCAAAAACAGCATTCACCACCCCGATGGGCCTGTTTGAGTTTCGAGTGTTGCCGTTCGGACTCACTAATGCGCCCGCGACGTTCCAGCGGTTGATGGAGTTGGTGATGCGGGGCTTGCAGTGGGAACAGTGCCTGATTTACTTGGACGATGTGATAGTGTTCAGTAGATCTTTGTCTGAGCATTGGTCCAGGCTTCGAGAGGTGTTCCAGCGACTGCGAGCGGCTCATCTCAAGCTCAAGCCACGTAAGTGTTACATCGCACAACGCGAGGTGGGGTACCTCGGGCATCGCGTCAGCGAGGCAGGCGTGCGCACCGATCCGGAGAAGGTACGCGCCGTAGTGGAGTGGCCACGGCCAAGGAATCTGACGGAGATCAGATCATTTTTGGGGCTCGCCACCTATTATCGTCGATTTGTAAAGGGATTCAGCGAGATTGCACGCCCCCTCACCCAACTCACCTCCCCTAAGCACCCCTACCAGTGGACGGGGGCCTGCCAGACGGCCTTCACCACTCTCAAAGACCACCTCACCCACGCCCCCACCCTCGCTTTCCCCGATTTTACCACCGATTTTATTTTGGACACCGACGCCTGCAGCAGCGGGCTGGGCGCGGTGTTGTCACA